CACCAATAATACGACCAGGCCTAAGAAACAATGCTAATGTGGATAGTGATTGTCAATATTAAATGATAGTATACGTACATTAAGCGTTTATATTCATCTTTCGTTGCAAAAAAAGCAGCATGTGGACCTTCGTTACCCATTGGCACTCCAAATCTTTGCGACGATCCTACGGCAAAGTCGGCATGCATCTCACCAGGAGGTTTCAACATAGTCAAAGCCAACAAATCACAACTCATAATAACCTAAATTATTTCATCTCTTTGATTCTTTTAGAAAACAATGTTCACCATACCTTTGCTCCAGAATGGTGAGCTTCTGTAATGATATTTTCATAGTCTTCGATTATACCTTGTGTGGTTGGATATTGCAATAGAATTCCACAAACTTGACCTTGTACTTCTTTCCAATTGAAAGAATGCATCTTTCCAACTACAACTTCGATACCGAAACCTTCAGCTCGAGTACAAATAACTCCTATGGTTTGTGGATGACATGAGTCGGATATGACAAATATTCTTTTCTTTTGCTTCGAAAGAGCATAACACATAGCCATCGCTTCAGCTGCAGCAGTGGCTTCATCTAACAATGAAGCTCCTGCAATAGGTAAACCAGTAAGATCCGAAACCATGGTTTGATAGTTCAACAGTGATTCGAGACGACCTACACATTTATCGTTTAATACGACACCAAATAAACGCATTCAACAAACCTTGTGAAACTTCGGCTTGGTACGGTGTATACTGAGTATACCAAGCCGGATTTTCCAATATGTTCCTTTGTATTACAGCTGGGACCAGTGTTCCATAATATCCCATACCAATATGATTTTGATACAATTCATTTCTTTGTGCTAGTTTCCTTATATATTTGAGTGCTTCACTCTCCGTCAAACCCGATCCTATTCCGAGACCGGTTTTGCTTCTTATCTTGGCAGGCACCTATTTCAAACACAAGTCAGTACGAGAAAACTCAATACAGCTTCTAAAACAGACTGTTTCTTGAATTAGTTCATCAAGCGTATTCAATTTTAGGGCTTGAAGCATGGCTTGTATATCTGCCTCTTTCCCTGAACCAATGTGTCTATTTTCAAAGATATCTTGAGCTTCCAAGACTGATCGAATACCTTGAAAAACAATCAACGAAAGCTAAACAAATAAAAGACAACGTTGACATACTTGTTGAATATAGAAAACGAGGAAATGAGCTAACGGAATTGAAATTTTTTTTCCATTCACCAACAACTTTACCATGCTTGTAGTCTTCGTGAACCAAACGTGAAGGCAACCATTCCCAAGTTCGACTCCTTCTAACCAGCTCTTTGTGTTTTTTAACAAGTTGGAGACAGTTTATTCTGGCAAACTTAGGTGCTTCCTTTAGCAAAAGAGCCATTTTAGTGAGGAAGCAAATGTATTGGTCACCACTATGGAAGAGAAATGCTTGCTATTCCAATCCACAGTTGATGATTGGTAGAAATGAAGCCGTTGCAACACCATAACAATTCTTCTTATGGAGTGAATTCATGATTGATTGATTGGAGGAGATGAGATAAAACACAGATTACTGGTAGAAAGATGGTTTATGATTAAAAAAGCAGATATCTAAAAAAATTGTTGAAATGAAATATTTGTTTAGGGAGAAATTGATTATCTTCCTTAGGGATATCGTGATAGGTAAACTTGGTTTAATTCCGAGACTTTTCGAGAACTCCAAATATAAAACATGCTGAAAACAACAAAGTATGAAAATGCAAATAAACTACTCGTAAAATTTTGGCACTAGTGTTTATTACTATTTCTCCTTTTGGAGGTAAAAGCACACAACTTTCATACAAGTTTGGCGTATCTCAAAAGCAAAACTTTTAGAACCCCAACAAGTTCCCAAGGCTTTAAAGAGAAATATAAACTTGGTATCTTTTTAAGTATGAAATATTGTACGACTAGTATATCTGGAGAATAAGAAAAGTGTCAAAAATATTGACTAAATATTAAACAAATTTCATGTTTCGTAATATGCTGTCTCTTTCTGCACTAAACTCTTTCAGTTTCTAGAAAATAGTCAAAAAAGACAGATTCAAATATTTCTCATTTTCAATCTTACTTCTTTGGCTTCATCGAGAACAATTCTGGCCAAAACAGGATCCTATAAGAATGATATTGATTGACGATCACAGCCAGATGCACAACCTACCTGAGGAAGCATCTGATAAGTATCGAGTTGCAACTGCTCCTCAATAACTTGCGCTTCCAACAAAGTTACTTTTTTACCTAGTTCTACAACTTCTTCATGTGTCACATCAACAGGTTGGCAACTAGAGTTTGCTTCATAACTTTCAAAAGCTTTTTTAAGTTTTTCCAAAGCTTTCTTTTCTTGGTCGACACTTGCTTGAGTAGCGGAAGATTGCTCTGCTTTGAAGCCAGTTATTACAGTTTCTAAATCTTTTTTAAAAGCCTCAAAATCTTTTAACAGTTTTTCCGCTTCATAATTTCTCTTTTTCTCTTCTTCTACTAGTTTCTCAACTTGCCACCATCTTTCTAGTTTCTGAGAAGCTGCTATCAGCAGTTCAGTCTGAGTATCTCTCAACGGATCGACGTTGCATTCAGCTGCAAACTCTGCCAAACTAGTAACACTGTCATTATTTTTCAAAAAGGTAACAACTAGAAGATAGGTATTGACTAAAGTTGTCTGGAAATATTGCAAACGTACGTTCCTCGGGAAAACAGTTGAGAGTTTTGCTAAGAGTCGTCTCTAGTCTATTTAATAGTTCAATCCTTTCTTCTAATTCTTCCACGAGAGCTTGCTTCTCTTGGTTTCTTTGTAAGGATAAAGTGGATAGTTTGGATAAAAAGTGTAAAGAAGGATGATGGGATAGCATCGAAATACGTTGAAGATTAGGCGCCATTTGAAATCGATGTACATGATTTGCGCGCCACTTGTGGTGGTAGTTCTTAGACAATGCATATTCAAGCTATTGTGATAAGTGGATTCAAGTCATACAGAGATACTGTAAAAATAAGTGACTTGAGCCCTGGACATAACGTTGTTGTTGGAAGAAACGGTTCTGGAAAGTCCAACTTTTTCGATGCCATACGATTTCTACTCTCAGACGCTTACACAAACTTGAGAAACAACGAGCGCCAAGCTCTGTTACATGAAGGAGTATCTAAAGCACCTTCCGCCTTTGTAGAAATTACTTTTGATAATTCTGATGGAAGACTTCCGTTCGATAAGGATCAAGTCACTTTGAGAAGAATAATAAGCCAGACCAAAGATGAATATGTCCTCGATAAGAAAAATGTAACCAGAACAGAAGTGTTCAACTTGTTGGAAACGGCTGGTTTTAGTAAGTCAAATCCTTACTATATCGTCCAACAAGGAAGAATTTCAGCCCTGTGTTCAATGAAGGATGAACAACGACTACAGCTTTTAGAGGAAGTTGCAGGAACGAAGTAAGTCGTTGTTACCTATGTTTGAGCCAATTCTTTTCCAATACCTTGTTGATTGCAATAGGCTTTATGACGAAAGAAGGGAAGAATCTCTGAAAATTCTACAAGAGACAGCCACCAAACGAACACGGATTCTTGAAGTAGTTAAATATCTTGAAGAAAGAATGTCGGAATTGGAAACAGAAAAGGAAGAACTCAAAAAATTGGAAGAATTGGAAACAGAAAGAAGGTCACTAGAATACACTCTCTATATAACAGAACTAGAAGAGATAAAAGAATCCTTAGAACAACTCGAAGCTGACCGACAAGGATTGGCAGATGAAAGTGAGAAACTTTATGAAACAAAAGAGTACAGTTCCAAACGTAAAGACACTCTGGAGCAACGAGTAGAAGATCTTGAACAACAAGTTAAATTAGCTCAATTCAAACTGCATGCCCTTCGAGAACAATATACCAATGAAAGTGAAAAGGAAGCAAGACTGAAAGTATCTCTCACTACCACTGAAGATACTGATAAGCTAAAAAAATCCAGTTTATCTGAATTACAAGACGCACTTCGAGAGGCTTCACAAAGAGAAAACGAGTGCCGTCATCAGTTGCAGAACATACAAAACCAGCTTGATAGAAAGATTCATGAAGAAATGGACCTAGAACAGCGGTAAATAATATCATATTCTATTCATAAGCATCAGTTCCGTAATGCTTTTCTAGGATAAACGAAATAGAACAAAAAGTGCTCCGTATGCATTCAAGAGAGCAAGGTCGTTCTAAATTTTCCAGTGTTCAGGAAAGAGATACATTTCTGCAAAATGAGATCCAAGAATTGGAATGGACTCTAACAGAAACAAAAAGTTCCTTAACTAACATATTGGAAGAACGTCAAAAGGTGGAAAACGACCAAAATACTTTAAAGGAAGAAGAGAAAAATCTCAACCATGAAATTCGTACTCTAAGTAAGCACTATGAAATATGCTATCATTTATAGTGCGATATTGACGCTTTACTTTCAGATGAAGAGTTGAAAGGCCTTCAAGAAGAAGTTTCTAGCTTCCAAGAACAACGTAATGCTTTGCAGCTTCAGAAACAAGAACTCTGGAGACAAGAAAACGAATATGAACAAGAACTATCTTCCATACAAAAAGATATTTCCAAAAAAGAACGCGACTTGTGCTATGCTTGCGGTGCAAAAATTTATGCGGCACTAGAAATCCTCGATAACGTTTTAAAAGATAAACCAAACCTTCGCACAGGTAAGTCACGTTCCGGTACTCTTTTCTTTTTATTATTCTGAATCTATCTGTGACAAGGATTTTATGGTCCATTATATACGCTCTTTACTGTCGACGATAAGTTCTCTCTCGCAGTTGAAGTGGCTGCTGGGCAGTCTCTTTCCTTCGTTGTAGTTGAAAACCATGAAAACGCTGCTGCTCTAGTCCAAGAACTGCAAAGAGTAAAGGGAGGAAGGCTGACATTCGTACCTCTGCAGGAAGTTGAACCAAAACAACTACCAGCTCTTCCTCCTACTCAAGATGCGTTTCCCATTCTCAACAAAATAGTACCCAAACAGACAGAATTGTATCCAGCGCTACAAGCAGTTTTCGGTTCTACACTCGTTGCGAGATCAATTTCTGTTGCAGCTTCCCTATCAAGAGAATATAACGTGAATTGTGTTACCTTGGACGGTGACACTGTAAACAAAACTGGAGCAATGGCTGGAGGTTATTCGGATCAGTCGCGTTCACGTTTAAAAGCTTTCAAAGAAGTACAAGTTTTAAGAGAAAATTTGCAAAAGTGTCAGGAAAAGTTGCAAAAAGTGAAGGATCAATTAAAGGAGAACGAAACGCAACTGAACCAATTATCTAGTTGGATACAAAAATCAGATGTTGAATGCTATACTAGATCATCACAGATTCATGACAAGGAAGAATGCTTGTCGAAAAATCGTCAAGAACAGAACAAAGTAAGTGTGCTTCATATTCTATACACTATCCTCGATTGAATAACACTTTTCTAGTTACAAGAACAATGGAGACAAATTCATAATAATGAAGATACACTTGCGCAAACAAAACGAGAAATTGAAACTGCAATATCCTTGCGAAAGCAAGAACTGGGGACTCCATTAGTTTCCACATTAACTTTGGAAGAACAGAGACAAACACAAGACATGGAAAGTGAGAAAATGGAACTCTTCAGCAAGCTTCAAGCCATTCATTCCGACAAAATGTCGTTGGAACAACAACTTGCAAGTTTGAATGCTGAAGTGGACGAATATCTCTACCGTAAAATTGCGTCATTACGTCTGGAGATTCAGAAACTGAAGCAAAACGACAGTGATGAAATGAATGACAATTGGCTTCATCCATCTATAGCCACAAAAGAAGATATAGAGGCTGAACATCGTTCTTTGTTATCAGAGCTTTCATCCGTAAAAAATGAAATAGAAATGTGGGAAGAAAAACTGGATAACTTTGTACAACAAGAAAATGAAATGAAGGAAGAATTGGAGACATTAAGACAGGATGAAACAAAGTCAAAGCAAGCCTTGGATGTAGTTTCGAGTAGAATGGAACAATTGTATCTTCGACGAGCTAAATTTCTTGAAAAGAAGTCATCTCTTGAACGCTCCATCGTTAGTCTTGGTTCCTTGCCTGCAAATTTTCACGAATACAGATCACTTAGTAGAAATATCTTGGAAAAGAGAATGCAACGCAACCAAAACAAACTGAAGAAATTCACGCACGTCAACCGAAAAGCTCTCGATCAATATCGAAACTTCACTGAACAGAGAGAAGCTCTTGGTAAACGTCTCGAAGAACTAGAAAAAGGTGACTCGTCTATACGTCAGCTTATAGAGACGTTGGACAACCGGAAAGATGAGGATATAAGGTGAGGAAACTTGATTTTCTCGAGTTCTTTTGATATTTACTGCATCATTTCAAGTCGGACATTTAGAACCGTTCGAGAACACTTTTCGAAACTCTTTGACGAATTGGTGCCTGGTGGAAAGGCTCGGTTGGTAATGAAATATCGTGGAAGTGATAGTTCTCGAGCTGATTCTTCCATCTTCGATGAGGAAAAAGAGAATGAGAATCCACAAAATTCAGAAAGGGAACCCTCGCGACCTCTTTCCTTTGCAGGAGTTTCCATCGAAGTCTCATTTCCAGGGTCTTCTCAGGTTTATCTGCTAGAGCAACTTAGTGGCGGCCAAAAGTCTATTGTAGCACTAGCACTTATATTTGCAATACAATTTCTGGATCCGGCTCCATTCTACTTGTTTGATGAAATTGACGCCAATCTGGATTCCACTTTCCGTAAAGCTGTCAGTAGACTTTTGCAGACACAGTCTCAGCAAGGTACTCAATTTATTACTACTACCTTTCGTCCAGAATTTCTATTCGTCGCAGACAAATGCTTTGGTGTTTCACAAGTCAACAAAATCAGTTCTATACAAGAAGTATCAAGAGACGACGCTTTGTTATTCGTTGGGTCAGAAGAGACAGAAATTTCTACTCAACAATAAAATAAATGGAAAGCAGAAATGGATTTCTTCACCCACAAAATGCAGCATTCCATTCATCAACTGTCATCTTCAAAATGTTTTGGTGCTACTGTGGAAAGATACTCACATATCTCTCCTACTTTAGGTAACACTTCAGCAAAGTTTCACGTGATTGTGCCTCCGCAGATAAAGGTAAGAAGGGACATAGTCTATGACGTTCTGGTTTGATACTTTGTAGGACAGAAAAGTACCCGTGCTATATTTTCTGGCTGGTTTAACTTGCAACGATGAAACTTTTGTTCTTTACAGTGGAGCTCAACGTTATGCAGCGTTTTACGGTATTTTGGTTGTCTGTCCTGATACCTCTCCTCGAGACACTGGTGTGTTATCACAGTGTGTGAGTTATTGCTAATCGTACTCATTGGAGTTTCTGGTTAGGAATTGAAGGAGAAGATCGCGAATACAACTTTGGAAGTAGTGCAGGTGTGTCGAATATCTCTGTTCGTAGTTTCAAGAGTTACGTGACTATCAGGTTTTTATGTAAACGCTACGACACAACCTTGGAACAAATGTTATCATATGTTTGATTATGTCACAAAGGAACTTCCAGAAGTGATATGTTCCAATTTCAACGTGGATAATACTAGACAAAGTATTTTTGGTCATTCTATGGGAGGACATGGAGCACTTATTTGTGCATTGAAGAATCCCACTCAATATCTTTCAGTCTCAGCTTTTGCTCCTGTGAGCAATCCTTTAAACTGTTCCTTTGGTCGTAAATGTTTAAGAGGCTATTTGGGCAACGATAAGGAGTCCTGGAAACAATACGATGCAACGGAGCTGATAAAGGGAAAGGGTCCTCAATTTTCAGATATATTCATTGACCAAGGAACTTTGGATCCATTTTTAAAAGACCAATTGTTGGTAGAAAACTTTCATAAAGCTTGTGACATGGTGGGTCAGAAGTTGACACTTCGTATGCGGCAAGGTTACGATCATGAATATAATTTTATTTCTACATTTATTCATGATCATTTTGCTTATCATAATTTAGCTTTGAGCCAAAAACCAAATGCTTCCATTTGAACATTTTTGTTGTTATTGAAAAGCTTTTGTTGAATAAAGATTTTTTTACAATGAGAAATTCTACTCATGTATAATTTGTACAGCCATGTAAATATCACATTACATTTTACATCGGTTATTATTTCCCAGTTTTTCCGTGGAAGGATTGAAGTTAGCCACTAATCTAGTTTGAAAGTGACAATATGGCCGAGGCACAGACAACCTCAAGCACTACTGGAGGTGGAGGTGGAGGTTCAGGAGATGAAAGTTATCACGCAAGGGAACAAGAGAAATTTTTGCCAACTGCAAATATCGCAAGAATCATGAAAAAGGTAAAGTTGTTGAAGTCTCTCGTATTTGACGAGTTTTTTGTTGTTGTTTACGGTATTTGTTGATAGGCTCTACCCCCAAACGCAAAGATAGCGAAAGACGGCAAGGATACCGTTCAAGAGTGTGTTTCAGAATTTGTTAGTTTTATTACTTCAGAAGCTAGTGATAAATGTCAACGTGAAAAACGCAAGACTATCAATGGCGACGATATTCTATGGGCAATGAATACTTTGGGTTTTGACAACTATGTAGAGCCTCTCAAAATCTATTTGGCGAGGTAAGCAGTTTGTTCTTTATTTTCAAAATTCTCATATTGTGGGGATCCAAAATGTACAGATATAGGGAAGCTATGTCTGCAGAGAAAGGTGAAGAAGGCCGTTCGCGTAGGGCAGCTAGTGAAGATGGCTCCTCATCACCTTGAAGACGGCAGTTGATGAGATACAAAACAAATAGTCTGTAGTATGGAGGGATAATTTGTCTATACGTAGTGGATAAGGTAGAAGTTCCTTAGAAGAGTATGGTGAAAATAGGAGCTTGCTCAAAAAGTTAATAGAAAATACGCAACAAGTGCACTATATTTAGTTTGTTTTACCACACTGTCTTTGGTGGGTCATAAAGCTATTCAAAACAACTATTCGAAATAAGGTGCAGTGACTTGTTCACGAACAATATTGTTCTTATGATTCAATTCCGTATGAGGATCATTGGACTTGACACAAGGCTGATTCACATTTCCAAACAGCAAATATTGAGTATCTGAATAGGAAATATTTCCACAATCGCCGTTGAATATCCCAAGGGTAGGCGTTGATACTATTCTAAGAAGAACTCGACCTGTTGTTTCAACAGAACTCAATTTTCTGTTCCAGTGTATCATATTACACCAAACTGGTCCATTGTCCTTGAAGCTGTTTAAATCATCCATAGGAAGAATGACATTCCCAACTAGAGTGTTTCTTCTCCAAGCTGCAGTTTTATATAGTTTCATAACATAGTAGATATCTGGTATTGCACTAGACTTGTCAATCAAAGCAGTGGAAGAAGTCCAGTGCAACTTACGTAGATATGAAATGATTTGGCATCAACCTTTGCTTATTACAATCCTTATTCTTTTGTCCTTTCTTTTTTCTTGAATGAGAAGCTAAAAGATTTCTATATAAAGGTGCTTCTTCAACTGCCATTTCAAATTGGGTAGCCAACTTGAGGTTCTCCAACTCAATACTCTTACTACTCCAGACTTGCAAAACTACACATCAAACAGTCAGCATAAATATCAATAGAGATACAAGCATTACCTTGTATGCTCAACATGTCTCTTTACAAATGACTCCCTTCTATGTGCATCGCTTGCTTTCTACTTTATCCACAAATATGGAATGGCAGACAAGTCGTCGCATCCATTTTTTCTACGTGGATCTCCCCATCACGGATTCCATCCAATCATTATCCGTCTCGAAGCAACCAGACAAGATGAGAATGAGATTATCCGATTCCTCCATATTCATTCGTCGGTAGCCATTGTGGTGGCGTGAGACTTGTTTGTTTCAAGTGTGCATGTGCTGCACATTTGTGTCTATAACAAGACCTTTCGTAGCCATACGTCATAGAAAGGAGGGTCTTGTAACTTATCCAGAGGGTATTGGAACTTCAAAAGCGTCCAAATGTTGTCCTTTGTTGCGTTGTCACAAAAGGAAGGAAAACTTTCGCCGACAAGAAAAAGTCTCGTTCAAGTGCGTTCTCGAAAAGTTGAGCACTTGGATGACTCATTTGACAAATATTTTGGGGGACAACACCAAAAAGCTTTGGAGACAAACAACTCAGGCTGAAGAACAACAAACAGAAGGAGAAACGGTGCAATATTCGGTAGTTTACTCCCAAAAACAACTTTTAAAAGGGCAGTTGGAGAATATTTTACGGGACTTTTACTTTTTGCCACACACCCTAAGGGTTGGTACAGCATTATCTCACAAACTGTCCAGAAATGTGACACTATCTCACCCAGTGTTGGAACGATTGGGCTTCCCAGTGGTTCTTCATATCCCGAAGCTACTGTTTTTACTATTTATTTCCTCCTTCTCATTTTTCAAAAATTGGTTAAAGATTGAGTTTTTAAGTTTGGACGATATGGAGTATTTGTCTCCTGAAGAAGGTCAACTGGTGGCAAGATTTCATTTATGTTTGGCAGTTAACAATAGAAAAGTGCAACAAGTTGTATTTCTTCGTATTCATTTAGACTCTAATGGGAATATAATGGGTTGGCAAGAACGTTGGTCGGAGTCCATTGCCGACCTTTCAAACATACCCAAGACAGTGAGCAACCTATCAAATGAAAGCAAAACTTTATTTCATAGCAATGGAAGTTGCGAAAATTCTTCCTCTAGCAATATGGAAAAGACCGTTAAGGGAGGTAGTCTGGATATCGCAGTACTTCAAAAGAATTTATTTAGTGCCTTTCTTCGGAAGAAAACCTATATTCAGCGATCAGAGTGGTATCATTCGCGTGTAAACAAAATTATCAATTGGTCAAAGGAACAGGCTCCAAGGCTATTCTCCTCACCAGTGGATCTGGGAGACATTTACTCGGAATTTGTCGAGTTGGAGAACCCTTTTGTTGTCGCATACGGAATTTCAGCAGTTCAACAAGTTCATCGAGGTATTCGTATATTAACTAGACTGTTGTTCCAGTATATGGACTGTAATATTATGAGTGTCGTTCATCCTAATCCGGAGACAGTTATAGCAGTATATCGTATATATGGAAAAGGGCGTTTTTTGGGTGGAAGAGTACAATATTTGAGCAGAAACATTATGACAATAGATCTGGAAGGAAAGATAGTTCGGCACCAGGAAACTTGGAATGTTGAAAGAAATGAAATTGTAAAAATGTGGTTGTCTAATGAATAAATCGCTGACTGACTGTTAAAATTGATTGGCTATACATTTTCTCATTTTGAATGAATGCCTATTTGGTTCTTGTCCAAGTCTCTTCTGGTAACTGTATAGAGACCCTTGATCGAGGCACAACATCCAAGTCAACTAGACATTGAACGTTTCATCCTCTCTTCATGAAGCTGATTGAAAGGCTTTAAAGAGATATTTTGTATGTAAATCCTTCAAAGGAAATTTCCCCTGGTGTTGAATTCTAAGGAATAAGGAGTACAATCGTCTGAGATTTTTTGTGCAGCTTAAACTGTTTATACATTATAAAGTTGGATGAAGACTTTCAAAGGGTCTCATCCTATTTTAGGAATAACTTTACATAGGGGTTTTGCCGACTAGACATAGCCTTATCAGCACTCTCCAGGAATCTAAGTATCACTATCTGCAGATAAATTCAACTTGGTCTAGTTATAGGACAAGGTCCAAAACATCTAACCAGACAACTTTATTGCCTTTCTCTTGCACACAAAACTGATCCATATCTTTCAAAAAGAAAGAAATTGCGCCATTTTTATTGCGCCAAAATTTTTATTTTTTCTTCTTTACTTTTTGATCTCAACAAAAACAAAGAGATTCATTTCATTTTGTGTTTTGAAAAAGAGAGTGGAGGAATGAAGGTTTTGTATTATTCTTCCAGTGGCGCTATTCCCTCTACATTTCTTCTAGGACAAAAAATTATGGTGAGTTGTGCATCAATCTTCAACCTCTACTGAAGACATGTAGCAATGGTTGGATACAAATAAGTCAACTTATGAAAAAGTGGACGTGTTCTCCAATAGAAAGGCAAGAGAAGATTTGGAAAGTTTACATGGCAAAGTACAAATACCTTGTGTTAGTCATGCATTATAAATATTTCTAGCGTTCAATATCTAAATGGAAACTAATGATAGTTGATTTGGGAAGATCGACTTGTTACAAGAAAACAAGTAGAACAAGCATTGGAACAAGACAGCGTGTATGATCTGCTGTTTGGAGAAGAAATAAGCGATGCATCGAGGAGAATGAAGCAGACGAAAAAGGAAACAATGAATACGACAACGACAAAAATCATTCAAAAGGAGTACTTGCATTCCGAGGAATTTTATTTGGACGATAGGGACATATCTTCTGTTAGTCAACAAGAAAAGTTTCTAAATGGTGTAAGAAGAAGGTGAAAAGGTTAAATTGCGTACCTTTTGTTTCCTTTTTGAACCATTTGATTAGATTGTATGTTGCCAAGTACCTGATGGAAGACGCCTCTCAACACATAAAGACTACTATGGTTTCTGTAAAATATCCCAAGCAATCCTCTTATTTGAAACGCTACATTCAATTGAAACAACATTTACTATGCATCTTTGAAACGGAGACATCTTCTCATACAAATCCAGATGAGATGATTTCTCTCTCAAAATTTTTCTTAAAAAGGTATGGCAGTAAATTATGAAAATGACAAAAACTGATAAGTTAAAAAGACACAAGTCCACAATGATCAAAGTTACAGCGAACAATTGTTCATTTGATATATTATTTCAAAGCAGGGAGACCTGTAGTGCTTGGTGGAATATTCTTCTTCGAACAAAAAGGTAATTGATACCTTGAATATGGAAAATTGTTTTTACTAAAGAAGAGTCGAGCAGGTATCTTCAACTTCAAGAAGAAGAAGCTAGAATGATGAATCAACTCAATGAGACATTTGAAATGTTCACAATTAACGTAAACAGGTATGCATGCTCTGTTGCAATTGCTTAGAGTTTTGACACAATTTTCCTTAGAGAACAAGCTGCATGTCGAATCCAAGGTGAGAATGCCAATTATTGCTTCCGAAAACATATGCTGAAACAGGCATTAAGCTACGTGGAGAGCATTTCAAAGTCGAAAGCTAGTGGCACAGATTCGAAGATCGCTTGAAGCTGCTGAATCAGGTCAGCGAGAGTATTTGGACGGAGTTCTAGAAGGCTTAGAGATAATTGGATCGGGGAAAATAGGCACTGAAGTACGTCTACGTGGGTGGATTCAATGGGACAGAAATTTCGTAAGTAGTTGTAAAATTTCACTATAAAGTTTTTTTATGATGGAGCCTGTTAGATAAAAATACAGTGGTACAGAAAGCTTCCTCTATCTTCAGACGACAACATCGAACCTATTTCAACTGCAAATCAAAATCGGAGGGTAGTAACAGCAGACGACATAGGTCAGCAGCTTCTTGCAAAAGTTTCTTGTCAATCTTCAAGCAATTGCAATCCAGATACTCTCGAGTCAAAATCCATCTTTCTTGAACTTGCGTCACCTGTTGTTTTACCAGAAAATATGAGGTCGAGATTGGAACAGAGCATAATTCGAGAAGTAGGAGAGTATTGGGTAGATGTCGTGATCATTGGAGACTTTGAAAATAATATAAACACTAGCCGTCGACTAAGTCAGCAACAATGTTTCCTTTTCAAAGTTACCAGTGAAAGAATCACGATTCATAACCGATATCATTTTCGGAAGGCGATTGGTAAATATTCATTATCGCAGTTGAATTGGGTGAGAATTGATCAAGAAGCCAAGTCTATCAACGACGAAACAGCAAAGTGTTTCCTTATTGCTTTCAAAAACGACAAAGTTTTTCATATCTCCACAAAAAGTAATATGGAACGAGAAGAACTGGTCATGACAATAAGAGCATTTCGAGCGATCCATATCATTGGTTCAAGGTTGAACTCATTTCCATCTTGTGATTTATCTTCGAACAAATTGCAGTTGCTAAAGTTTCATGGAATGAAGAAAATATTCAAGAAATTTAAAGATGATAAACAAGTGGAAGTTACCTGTGACTATGCTCCGAAACAGAACATAATGGAAGCTGTTACACTTCAAATGGAAGATCTGAACACAACATGTATCGATCATTCCACACAGTCACCTGAGACAATACAGCCGTTTCAGGAACCTAACAATATCAGTACTGACAAGGATGAAAGCAATGTAATATTACATCATTCAAACGAAACAACAGAGGTAAACAAGAGACAAAAGCCTCTTCACTCATTAGGTGAACCCAGCTTGCCTTCAGGTGGCAAGAAACAAGCTATAGAGATTCACAGTATGCCAGGCATGCGGCCATCAAGAGTGATAGTTCCTTTGGAAGAAAAGAGTCTTGAACTTGAAGTGAGCAATGTTCAGTCCAGAAATGACGTTACAACCAGAAGAATTCATTGGCATAAGATTCCAATGAATCGTCTCAAAGACTCTATTTGGCAGGAGACACAAGCGATCACTTGGAAGGTTGATGAGAGTGAAATAAAAGCGATATTCCAATTGCAATTGGAACAGACGAATTTTTCTGTTCAACAAAGTTCAGGTATTTATGGCGAAGCCGTGCAACAAGTAACTTTCCTTGATGACAGATATGCTCGTAATTTGGAGATTCTAATGGGACGCTTTCGTAACCTTGGCGGTGAGAAGGTGAAAGAACTTATTTTGAATGGCGATTGCTCTTCTGTCACTAAGATGGACGAATTTTTACCTCTCTTATCAAGTCTTGTCCCGTCCTCGGATGTTCAACAGCAGCTTTTGGATAAAGCCAAGAATGTAGATCTTACAACAGTTTCACCTCCAGAAAGATTCCTTCTTACCTTGTGTGAAGTTCCCCGATGTAGTCAGAAAGTCCAAAGTATCCTCTTTAAGCTCATGTTTCAAGAAACGAGTGACAAAGTATTGCATGATTTGGAAGCACTGATGCAAGGTGCCAAAGAAATTTGTCAAAGCAATGGTTTGAAAGAAATCGTCTCGTTGAGCTTGTCCATTGGAAATGTTCTCAATGCACACCATCCACAAGGAAATGCGAAAGGCTATTCCATTGAAGATATCAACATTTTTAATGGAGTCCGTTCTTCCCGTTTCTCCCGCGTCACGTTACTCAATTACATGATTAGCATTTTGAAAAGAAATATGCCACAGGTATTATCATTTGCAGATGAACTACCCTCTCTACGTTTGTGTGCATTTTTGGACAGTGACAATGTATTGGCACAATTTGAAGGTTTAGAACATGGTTGGACTCCATTTCATTTTGAATGAAAATCATACTAATGCTTCTTATAGATATGCAACAGATGCATACGGAGATCTGTCGAAGCCTTGAAGAATCGTGTTCCATGCCATTTGGAGAAATGATGATGCCTTGGTATGAGAAAGCTCAAAGGACAATGGAAAACTTGAGAACGATGATTCATACTTGGCAGGAAAACATGGAGGATGTTATTCTGTATTTGCCTTCTGTTGACACAGCTGCTTGTTACAATTCCGTCTTTCAGCATTTATATCGATTTGTTTCTGACTTTCAAAGGGCTTGGGATGAAACTGAACAGTTGCAAGTACTTCAAAGGACTGGTATCCAATTTGCTAGAGTCAAAACTCAGCCACAACAAGTTCACGAAAGGCTAGAAGTTCACAATGTTTACAAGAGTTTGGAAACTCTTCCAATGACAACACCACCTTCTCCTCCTCCTCCTCCTCCACCACCACCAATTATCAGTACAATTTTCATCTCTTTCATCTATGCCTTCATTTTCGGTTGTGACTAGTATCCAATAGATGAGCATATATGGAAAATCAGGTTATCAATGAGTTGTTGTTTAGTTATGGAAAGAAAGACACGTTCTACCAAACGCTTTTTGTATAAACTTTTTATACTCTTCTAGTATTGATTTTCGAAGATAACTTGTCTCCAACCGCGTTTATTCCTGAATGGGTGCTAAGAAATCATAAATATGTTGATATGAATAATGATTAGGTTGCAAACGGTGAATGTAAAAGACATGAAGATAGGAATGGTGGGTATCTTTCCAATTCTAGTATATAAACTCAAAAAAGAGAAACTTCTCCGAATCAACTGTCCAAGCAAACTCATTTTCATATGTATCAACATTGTCTTTATGTCGTCTCTAAGAAAATTTGTACAAAATCAGATGAACATTATCATAAGAGACGATTCAACCATCCTCGGATGAGTTAAAACCCCTTCAATTGAATGAATGGATGCGCCTTGTACTGAAACAGGAAATAAAAGAAAACGTGAAACAGCAAATCAACAAGAAAACAACTCACAAGAAAAACGAGATGGCAAACCGTTCAAGTTTCGTATCACAGGCATACCCATGCGTGACAAAGTGCGCACACTATTTTACCAAGTTCTTACAACAACTGAAGAAAGGAAACAAGAAAAACAAAAACCTATCCACGTGACGGTCGAAGAAATAGAAGAAGAACTATTCAAGAGCTGTGATAAAGAAACGGGGAAAGACTACCAAGAAAGATTTCGAAGTTTGTACCGTAACTTGAAAGACGCCAAAAACGCGAGTTTAAGGGAAGCTGTTTTGTCGAGAACGATACTTCCCAAGGACTTTGTAGTCATGACACCCCATGAGTTGGCCAACCCGGAACTTAAAAAGGAGCGCGAACAACTGAGAAAAGAAAGTATTCGCGAGTCAAAGAAAAGTGTTGATACTCAAACTTTTTCGGAAGAGTTTCAGTGCAGAAAGTGTGGACTTCGCAAGTGCTCTTTTTTTCAGATGCAGACACGTAGTGCGGATGAACCCATGACTACGTTTGTAACTTGTCACCATTGTGGGAACCGTTGGAAACAATAATATAAATAAAAGTATTGATCAGTAGGAAGAATGAGAAAATGTTTGGGCGCCATGAGTTCTTCTGGAAACTTCGATAAAAGTTTTGAAAACCTAATGATTCATGCGGCTGATTATTGATAAAGTCTTCACATTAGTCTAAATCAATTGAAGATGATGTCGGATGATGAGTTGATGGATACCAGTCCTCCTATGCTAGAAGACGACGACTTGTCAGATAATGAATCAGTTGGTAACAAATATGAAGGAGACTTAACTGGTGATGGAGGAGTAGAAAAGGTTATCTTGAAACAAGGTGAAGGTTACAAGCGACCAGAAAAGGGAGACGAAGTACGAGTAAACTATATTGGGAAGCTTCTAGGCTCAGAAGATGTCTTCGATAACAGTTATGATAGAGGAGAGCCCCTTAAGTTTACACTTGGCAGCGGTCAGGTGATAAAGGGTTGGGATGTAGCTGTGGCTACTATGAAAAAAGGTGAAAAGGCAAAAGTTACGATCAAGCCTGAATATGGATATGGGGAAAACGGAATGCCTCCTAAAATACCAGGTGAGTTTGTTGTTCAAGTGCGATGCAACTATTGGTTGAATAGAAGTTTTCTTATAAAGAAAACGCAACTCTGGTATTTGAAATGGAACTTGTAGACTGGACGAGTGTGAAGGATATGTTTGGAGATGGCAAGGTTATGAAGTATATTTTGGAAGAAGGAACAGGCTGGGAACGCCCAACGGATAAGTTTGAGGTATTTGTGAACGTATTGGCAAAGACCAAAGACAATCGAGTTCTCTGGGAAGAGAAGGAGTTGTCTTTTGTCATGGGAGAAAACCAAGTCCCTGAGTTTTTGGAAAAGGTATCGAGTTGTTATGGACCACAATGTACAAGATATTGAAACAGTCCATTTGATATAGGCCATAAAAGATATGAAAAAATCAGCAAAGCTTCGTCTTGTATGTAGAGATGAACGCATTAGAGTAGCCGGTCTCCCTTTTCAAATTCCTCATGATATAGATTGTGTGGAATATGAGTTGGAGTTGATTCGATGGAATAAAGTCGAAGATGTCTCTAAAGATGGTGGAGTTGTCAAGAAGATGGTAAAAGAAGGAGAAGGTTGGGAAAAACCTTCGGATGATACCAAAGCCATTGTGAATATGATTATGAAGGATTGCAATACTCAAAAGATAATCGAAGAGAAATCCAATTGGGAAGTCATTGTAGGAGATGGTGTCGTTATCGAAGGAGTTGACTTGGCTTTAGAAACTATGAAAAAAGGCGAAAAGGCAGTTTTGACTGTTGCACCCAATTATGCCTTTAAGGAAGCCGGAATAGTACCTCCTGAAGGTGTTTCAAAAGACTCAACAGTGATAGTTGAATTGGAACTGGTTTCATTTGAAAGAGCCAAAGACTCTTGGAATTTATCAAAGGAAGAAAAGATAGAAAATGCATTGCGTACAAAGGACAAAGGCAATGAATTGTTCAAATCCGGCAGATATAAGCTTGCTAAGAAGTAAGTAATTGTGTACTTTATATTGGAATGGATATCGAAATTTTCTTTTAGGAAATATGAAAAAGTGGTAAATAATTTGGAGTTTGATGTTAAGAACAAGTCAGATCTCAATGCAGAACAGAAACAACAAGGCAAGTCGATTCTTTTGCAGACCTACTTGAATCTTGCAGCTTGTGAAGAGAAATTCTGCAATTCGAATGGCGTGCTGAAGCAATGCAATAAAGCACTGGAAATAGATTCAGTGAATGTGAAGGTTGGTCAATCGCAAGGTTTTTGTATTTCTGATTGTTCATTTGTTTTCTTTATAGGCATTATTTAGAAGAGCTTCTGCATATCTACGCAGTTCTGAAGTGTTACTGGCAGAGAAAGATCTAAAGCGAGCTTTAGAGCTAGATCCTTCCAATGTAGCGCTGAAGAAGAAGATGCGTGAACTTCGCCAAGTGAAGGCTGAACAAGATGCAAAGGATCGCAGACTATTCGGTAATATGTTTTCGCGCTTAGGACAAATAGAAGACGATATAAGAAAATCAAATGACGAAACAAAGGGCAAAGAGATAACAGCTTCTTAATAATATTTCGACAATACAAATGGGACTTTTCTACAGTTTATTTGCAGTGACCATATAAAGAGGATCTAATATTATCGTTTTAGCTATTACCTGAGAAGCACAAGTTGTGACAATTACCTGTAATACCCCAATTCGGACTCAAGTCATAAGCTGTTGGAGTATCAAACATTTCACTAAGATATATCCATTGGTATTTTGAATGACAAAGAACGAAAATACTTGCGTATAATGAAAGAAACTTCCGACTATGTATACGCGTTGCTACAAGACATTATTATTATTATGTTTTACAACTTTCATACTCACCCAATCATTACTAGCAGATAACCACACGGAAACTGCTTTTGTAGGAAAACAACTATCAGCAGCTGAAATCAACCATTGCATTTCATTCTAAAAGAAATATTTGCATACCGATTACTGAAACTAATATAGGCCGTTCCCTTTGAACGAAGGACTCTTCCTATTTCTCGAAATACTTGCAAAGGTTTAGTCAAATAGTCTACACTAACTACCATAGTCACGATATCGAATCTCTCATTTGGATATGGAAAGGTTGGATTCTCTTGCAAGTCAATGACGTCATAGGTCTATTTCAAACAATATTATTCTTCATCTCAACTATTTGCACATACAAAGATATCCTTTTTCCTTAGAATACTTACATCGAGTCTGGGATTCTTTGACAACTCCAATTCGTTCAATCCTATTCCGGCAACCCATCTAGCTTTGTAATCATCAGGATAATGAGAAACCCAACTAGAACAACTAAAAAAAAGTTTTATTTCTTGAGTCTGTTCAACTCTGATCACTGTCTCACACGTCTAAGATATCAGCATTGGGAATAAAGTGTTGTCGATAGAACTTGGTGAGTGCTCTAACAGCAAAGTCGTCGATATGATAAACCAGCCTTGGATGAGAATAGAATAATAAGTCACTACTCTCATCTAATCGGGAAAAGTCTTGTGCTGTATATGGCCAAGTTTCAGGATATTGAGCTTCTTTCAACACTTTCGCAATACGATCTCCCCACATGAAATTGGATTGTATGGCTAATTGCTTTTCCAAAATACTTAAACTATTTTTATTACCAAAAAATGGCCAAAACCATATATTATGCAAAGGCAATAAAAGCTAAACGTGCTCGGTTCTTAACCTTTTCTTCATCTTCCTCACAAGTTGCAGTTATTCCTTCTCCACCTCTTGTCCAACGAGATAAAAAGATAGTTTCTACTCTTTTAAAACCAACAGACTTGAACAACTTGGTAAGAGATACACTTGTATGACACACTCTTGGACTATCATGTCTTTCAAAATAAAAAGGTTCCTCATCAGGCAAATCAATTCCCATAGTCTCTCCTATAAATACACCCTGATAAGGTTCCAATAGTTGATACACTTTGCTGACAAAGTCTCTGCACTCCTTTGGTATCACGTGTAACACCAAGGTAGCAACGACCACATCCACTCTCTTGAGTTTCGACTTTACAAAACTAACCCAATCCTCATCTCCTATACTTTTGACAGCAAAACAGTTCTCCATTTTATCCTTATCTTCAAAAAGCTCAAAACCCAAGTCAATAAAAGTGCGCGACACATCTATTCCCAAATAGTTTTCTCGTTTCACTCCTTGTGAAAGCACCAAGTCACGACCGTCTATTCCAAAAGCACAACCCACTTCAAGTATACAACCATCTTGTAAAGCTTTTTTATGTTGTATATGCTCAAAAAAGGGATTCTTTCGTAATCCTATCCTTAGAAAATAGAAACCTTCGACACAACTATTCCAGTTATGAATATAGAGAGAGTCTCAAGTAGAAAGGAGAAACTCACCGATAGTTGAATTCTCTTTCCAAAGCTTTTCGTTGTATTTCTCGACCTTTCTCATATACTTGTTCTAGAGATAATAAGCCTTGGAAGAGAGGTACCACTTGAGGGTCTATTTGATCCATCATCAAGCGTCCTTTGCAATGATTGATAACTAAAATGGTATGTTTCATTTATCTATTTGAATATATTTATATATAAGTGTATATATAAGTATATATATATGTTTTCAGTAACAGCTATCTCAACAAGATGAGATTGACACTTCATAACACTTATTATCACCGTCGATTATTTGGGATTGGGGTAGACGATGGCTTCCAACCAACAACAAGACAACTTTGATACAAGTTCTATTTTTGATACAGGAAGTAAGTCTTTTCTGTGGGGAATACGAATAAAACCTTGATATACTGATTAAAATATATTGTATTTAGATGACCCATTCTCTACTATAGACTATTCTTCTACTGAACAAAGTGGGAACGAGTCACCTACTCTAGACTTTGGTCACTTGGATAGAATTAACCCACTAACTATTGCACCTGCATTAGGTGTATATGCACCAGGTTATGGAAATTCTCCTGAATATCTTTTTGCAGAAGACTATACGGTATTGCATATATATATATATATTATATCTTGAGAAAGTACCAACTCAATATGTGTTGCCTTAGGATTATCGTAAAAAGTCCTGGGGAGAGCAGCTCATGTATTGGACAGGAGTATCTTATTTAAGTGGTGCAGTAACTGGTGGTTCTTATGGATGTATAGAGGGTCTTCGTTCTTCAGGAGGTAAAAGCTGGAAACTACGAGTCAACGCTATATTGAATGCCAGTGGTCGAAGAGGAGCTGCATTGGCCAACGCTTGTGGAATTCTAGCACTTATGTTTTCAGGATTCGAATCCATTTATGATCATTATATTGGAGATGATGCCGTATATAACTATGCTTTGGCTGGTATTTCAGCTGGTCTTGTGTACAAGTCAACTGCGGGTCTCAAACCAGCAAGTATTTATAGTACAGGTTTAGGTTTGGTAGGAGTGTTGGGAATCTATGCTGCAAGACAAGGAATATATGGTCGTCGTTTACAAACACTTGTTTAGCGTTGTTTCTTTGAAATAAATTCATAAAGAAGAATGGCAAAATAGCCATTTTATATTCATCATAAATAGAGAGAGAGAGAGAGAGAATGAATAGTTTATGTAAATTCTTATGGCAGACTTCCCTACAAACAAGACATTCACTTCAACTATTTGTGACTAGTCATAACAAGTTTTCAAGTTTCACACCACAAGAAACAAGATCAACGCAAAATACAAACATATCCAAAAAGTCTGTTGAATCGGACTATTCTTCGTCCCCTTTGGATGCTGCAAAGAGTTATGTGGAGTGCATTGCTGCTTTGACAGAGTGGTCTCCAACAGATTTAAATATCAAAACAAATAAGAATAGTAGCGATTCCAATTCTGCAGATGAAGAAAGAAAACAATCTCTTCTCGATGTTCGTCGCACTACTCACAACACTTTATGGGAAGTATTGAAGAAACCTCCAGCACCACAAAAGATGAAGTTATTCTCTGTTCGACAAATAACGCAATCCATCATACAATCTTTTGCTCATACCTTTGTGGATGTATTTCCACGTTTAGATATATCAAGAAAGGCAAGAATGATGGGTATTTTGATGGTTGACTTTCCAACCCATTCCTCTATAGTTTCCAAGTTGTATCCTTCTTTAAAGTTGTCATCTTCTATGAACCTGAATAGTCAAGATTGGGATGATGACTATGCACGAGACTTTCAAGGTTCTCTATTTTATTATCCTGGAGTGGAGAAATATTATGGATGGTTCTTTTATTGGAACTTTTTCTCTTTGCTTCTCAATCATCCCAAAGGACTTGAAGTTTTATGTGATGTGAGATATCTTTTGAATATTATTTATACACCAGAACAAGTGAAGCAACTGGAATCCTATTTCCTAGTCGATCGTCCTTTTCAAGTAGCAACGGATAGTATTTCATGGCTCGTTAGATACAATCATCGAGTACTTGCGCCTTGTTTTGGTCAAAGCTTTTTGAGAGTTCATGAATTGAATGCAAACTATGCTCCATTTCTAGTAGCCTATTCCCGAGCACTAAAGAGACTTCATGCAGTAGAATCACAAGATGAAGGAAATCGAAGAATACAATATAAATATCGACGAATCTATGCTCTCACTCAAATAGGATTACCCTCCATTCCATTGTCTTTTTGTGAAGTTGTTTTCTTACCTCAACCAGCCACCAGTCTTCATCAAATAGAAGAATTGATAAAGAACGACGAATCCAATCTTTCTACCAGTTATCCAACTGTGATTGAACATATTCGTTCCTTTATGTTACCAAGAATGAATTTTTCAAGACTATTATTGAATCGAGTGATGCGCGAAAGAATACCTCAAGTCACGAAACAAACGGATAGAATTTATTCACTGAGTCGATTGGGAGATTTTGTGGATTGGCTTTGGAGATATTTTATTTTGAGAATCGGTACTCGAGAGTTTCCAGTATCGATGCCTAAAGATGTTTATATTCGAGTGGAAACAGTGTTGAGTATCCTTTATGGAGATTTGAATCGTCAACCATTGAGAATGAAAAGTGAATTTTCACAATGGGACTATTCACAATTAGAACAAGAGAAGGAGTTGTTGTTGTCACTTTGTGCATTGTATATATGTTATGTGAAACGTTTAAAAGGACTTCCTTATGATGCACTTGCAACTTTTCATTTAGGAAATGGTGCTGAATTATCCGATATATGTTGGATGGGAGACAACTCACCTACTGCAATGGCTAAAAATCTTTGTATGATGGCATTGTTTAGTTATCGTTTGGAATGTCAAGAAGAGAATGTGATTGTATTTTCTACTGAAGGAAAGATTGTTGTGAGTGAAAAGGTCAAGACATTATTGGATCGATTGCCCTATGTTTAAATGTGATATGCCTTTTATTGACATACTCAACTGAAGCTTTTGTACTAGTTGTTATTTTTACGATGGAAACCCATTCTTTGATTTATATTGTGAATGAGAATATCTTTCCAAGGACGATCCAAAATATCTTTGATTTCTTCCAAAGACAAATTTTTGGTTTCTGGAACCCATAAGAGGAAATAAAACCAACCTATTGCAGTAATTCCACCATAAAAACCTATAAAAGTTCCAGGTTTGGTCATTGCCTGAGTCATTTCTAAAAAGGCATAAGATGTTATCCAATTGCCAATAAAGTTGGAAAGAATTCCTAAACTCATTCCATAACTTCTTAAATAATTGGGATACAGTTCAGCATTCATCACAAATGGAATAGGACCTAAAGAAGAACCCCAAAATATATAATAAAATACAACTCCCACAGTATATATGGCAACCAATGAGTCTGTACAACAACTAAAAAAGGCACAACCAATGATGATCAGTCCCACAAGAACTCCAGGAGTTAGAATCAATAAAAGTGGTCTTCTTCCATAGCGGTCCACCATATAAATAGCAGGAATGGAAGAAAGAAATAGAGTTCCACCTCCAATCATACTCACATAGATAGAATCATGTACGGAAAGTCCAGCTTTTCTATACATACTACCCAGAAAATAAAGAATAGAATTGGTACCTGAAAACTGTTGAAAGAACATAAATAGAATTCCATGAATACATGCTTTGCGACAATAAGGAATTCTATACAAGTCAAATAATATCCAGCGATCTTGAGAAGCTTCCTTCTCACTATGACATACTTTTTCCATCATGAAGAATTCTTCTCGTTCTTCATCCCTATCCATGCCACGAAGACCTTTCCATGTGATATAGGCATTGCATAATTGATTCTTTCTCATCAACCAACGAGGACTTTCAGGAAAGAATAACACTCCCACCATCAACAAGGAAGAAAATACCAAAGAAGAACCAAGAATATATCTCCAAGTGCCAACCACATGAAGAAATATAGCACTCACTATATAACCAGATAATATTCCCAACATAATCATAACAGTATAAAGTGATATAATAGCACCTCTTCTACTCTTAGGAAAACACTCCGAGGCATAAATAGGAATAGTCATAGTGCCTAGAGCAACTCCCATCCCAAGAACAACTCGACCTGAAACCAATTCTCCATAACTATGTGAAGAAGCCTCTAAAATAGCGCCTATGGTATAAAATAAACAGGAAATCAATATACTATACTTTCTACCTAAATATTCATTGAAAGGAATAGCCCTATTCATATTCAATGCTATATTCCAATCACAAAGAAAACAAAACCTACAGCAAAGCACCACCAATACCGCCTAAAGACATACCACTAGAAATAAGGGATTCTTGTGGAGTATCGAGTTTCATATCTGTTTTCAGAAATAATAAAGCTCCACTTATGAGACTAACATTCAAACCATAGACGAAGCCTCCCACACAAATAAACAACCCCAGATAATACATTGCATATTGAGGCTTTGGAAACAAAGATAACAGTACTAAACTCTTTTTTCCATTGCTTTGACTTTCCAATTCTATTATTCTTTCTCCATAGTCTTCTGAATATTCAACTTGAATACTATCAACTTGAGTCATTATATGTCAATCAATCCGATTGCAGCAATTCATTCATTGTCATTTGGACTAATCTAATGGCTTGCTTTCTCATCCATCCACATATATATATATATATATATATATATATGATAGGATAGGATATGATTATGGATAGATATCAATTATGATAATATCATGACAAGAGTTGCTTCTATTGAACAAGAAAATAAGAATGATAAACATTACATCCTCAAGAATATTATTTTGTGTCTTTGGGAGGGGGAGAGAGAGAGAGCGAGCGAGAGAGATGGTTCTGTTTGGTCCGTTTAGTTGGAAGACTCAAAGTGGCAATCGAATCACTATATTTGGAGCCTTTTTCACTTTCCCTCTTATAGGATATTCTCTTTGGCAGTATTATAGTCAACCAGGGAAAGATACTCAAAGACAAGTTTCTACGAATGGTTTAAGGCTAGAAGATGATGAAGTGGATGGACTAGTTGACAACTCTCAGTCTTGGAAGGATTCCGATACAAGTTTATTGAAATAGTTGTATTCATATACCGATAGTTTGCTAATTATAGTTGTGTTCAAGTTAGTTACTTTGCTTGTTTTTGATTATATTATGATTCTTATGAAAACACTATATATGGATATCATAAAGACAGGTCCTTTTCTATGATTGTCAAGAGTTGATTACTTTCTTATTTCATGTATCATAATAATACATATAAAATGGAACAGAAAGGAAATCTTGATTCATCCCCACCTTTTGTTATTCATTCTGGACACAAAAGTTGACGAGCGTTGTAGTTGTTGATATGAGTCCAGAAACGAGAGACTGTATGAGAAAAATACAAATGGGAGCCTTATTGGGTTCTATGGTGGGTGGATCGTTTGGTCTTTTGTATGGAGGTTTTGAAGCCTTTCGACATAAAGGTTTGACAGGGCCACAGGTGAGTATAAACTATGAAGAAAGTTTCCACGGAGTGAAATATTTCTTTGTTGGATAGAGAATTGGATTGGCTTTAAGAAGTACAGTTGGAGCTGGTATGGCTTTTGGGTTTTTCCTTGCTGTCGGAACGGGAATTCGAGGTTGTGGTGCTCACGAAAGATATTAATAAACAGATGAGGAACGATTAGGAATTGTATTTTATGTAGAAAAGTATTTCAATCCTTATGACTTGTTCATATTATTATTATTTTCAACTTGGAAGGGCCATTTTTATTTCTTTGGGTTATTTGTGAATGACTCCCATACGTATTCTTTATTATCCTGACCGTGTGGTTATACAAAATATTCGTCCGTTTGTAAACAACAATATAGACTTGAGTGATATCAATGCCATAATTGATGCCACGAATAGACTCTCCACAACCAACTCTGTAGGACAAGACACTGAAACATCCTCCTTTCTAGTCATTCCTTTTGATGGACAACCAACAGAGACAACCAAAGTGCCTTATGGTAAACCACAAGGTGTTGAAGTAGCTGTTGGATTCTTGGGAGTTTTACACTTATTGAGTGGACCTTTTGCTGTATTTGCTTTACAAGTGAAACGAGTGGGTCAACTACCAGGTGCCACTCCTATTTATGCCATTGCCAAGGTTAGTATTGAACTTGAGAAATATTATTCCAAACTATATATATTTTGTGTGGCATTAGATTCGTTTTGCAAAGCTATTTGTTGGTACTGATACCAAAGCAGATAGAGAATTGGGTTTATCACAAACAAAACTATTGGAGTCTGGACACGTATTTTTCTCAGCGGAGTGCGACTTGACTAGAAGACTTCAGAAACAATATGCTTCCAGTAATAGTACATCTTCTGATAGCTTTTCCTTTTGGTGGAATTATCGTCTTTGTAAATATTTGGGCAATGCTCATATGCCTTGGTGTCTTAAGACTATTTATGGTTTTGTAGAAACAACAGAATTGCAATTGATATGTCATGAACATACAAATAATGCTTTAGAAGATTGGAAGGGAAATCAGTCCGAAACTTTTATGCTGACATTGATAAGTCGTCGAAGTAGAAAGAGAGCTGGTTTACGATATATCACTCGTGGAATTGACCGAAGAGGAGATGTTGCCAATTTTGTTGAAACAGAACAGATTATTTGGAAATCCTCTTCTCATAGAAAGAATGATTCCTTTTCATCTTTTGTGATTATTCGTGGCTCTGTTCCCGTTTTTTGGAGACAAAATAAGGGCTCTGTAAAACCTCCTCCAGAATTGGATGCACCACTGGACTTGTGTCGACAAAGTTTTCGAAAACATTTTCAAAACCTCATTCGTTCCTATGGCTCTTTGGTGGCACTTTCTTTGGTCGATCAAACTGGCTCAGAAGCAATATTAGCTGCCACTTATTCGAGACATTTTGAGTTGGATATGGATGAATTATGTTCTCAATTAGCTTCGGATAGTATATCACCTTTCTATCGTCCACAACTCGTTTCTTTTGACTTTCATGCTCATTGTTCTGGAACAGATTGGGAACAAGGTATGCAAACTTTACTTCAACAAGTAAAGAGTTTTGCTAGTAGACAGAAATTCTTTGTATTGCATTGTCAAGATGAGAGTAATTGTACAGTTCGTAGTCTACAAGATGGAGTATTTCGAGTCAACTGTGTGGACTGTTTGGACAGAACCAACGTAGCTCAAAGCGCTATTGCTCGACATTTATTGGTACCTCAAGCCAAGTCAGTCTATATTGCTGGTATGCAATGGAACAAGACGAAATCTAATAGCCTAGTTGGTCCATCACGATTAGAAACAACGAGTGAATCTCAATTCAATAAGATATGGTCCAATAATGCCGATATACTATCCAAACAATATGCGGTAAGTATTCAAAGTGCACAAGTTTTGTATAGAGTGAATGATTGTTGTGTAGGGAACTGGAGCTTTGAAGACCGATTATACACGTTCTGGAAAGCGCTCAACCAAAGGACTTTTTAAAGATGGAGTCAATTCAGTCATGAGAATGTATTATAAGAATTTTGTGGATGAAGAACGACAAGATGCTATGGACTTGTGGTTAGGAGTTGCAGTAATCAATTCTATATTTTCTCGTACTTTATTATGGAGCAGATATAATAATGTTCAACGTTTGTCTCCAGGAGGAGATAAACAATATGTTATGGTTGAGTTGAGAGAACAAGGAATGGTACTTACATCTCCTGAAGGTATTCATTATGAATATCCTAGAAAGAGTTTTCTCCAATGGAGTAAGCGTTTATCAACTTCAGGCAAGGCAAGGCTACGATTGTGGTTTGATGAGTCTGTTTGTCCCGAATCTCTCACTATAGCTAATCCTTTGGACTTGCATTTTCACAAGGGAGGTCCAGCAGCTAGAGAACGTTTCTTAAGAGCTCTAGTAAGTTGGTCGGATTTATCCATTCCAGGATATGGTCAACGCATAAGAGTCCGAATATTTTCCACTAGTAATGAAGCACCATCCAGTTTTAGTGAATGGGGAATTCCTTCATATGAAGAGCATATTCATCCAAATTATTCAAACGATATTGAAATACTTTGTCTCATCGTTCCTTCACCTGGTCCGAATAGTCGTAAATATGGTCTGGCAGCTGTTCCTTTAGATATGGATACTTTTGGTTATCATTTAGTTAGTGCTATTGCTGCAGATCGAATATGGGGACCATCCATGGCTGTCTTTGTAAAAGGCAATATTTCAAAAGGTTTGATTATGGAAGTGAATGAACATGCCTATCGTTCCAGTATGATGAGTAAAGCCACTCATGTTATGAATTCTGATATCAACAACAACAACAACATTCGTTTGGATAGAACAAATAGTCACAATGGAGGAGTTGCCATAGGTTTGGAAGTTTCTGGAGTTGCATTATGTTTTGTAGGTGTTCATGTACAGGTGAGTCAATTGGAAGAGATATTTTTATGGTTATGAATAACAGGTTTTGATAGGGTCCACGTGAATTATTTGATGTCTTAACCCATTTAAGAGTAGGAAGACCGGACTTTGATATCACCAATCAGTTTCCCTATTTTTATTTAAGTGGCATGATTCATGGAGACCTTCATTGGTCAAGGAAGAATGCGAAAGGCGATCCTATATGGGCTAAAATGGCTGATGGCTCTCAAGTAATGACATTTGAAAGTGGAACATCTTTGATGAGAAATTCTTTTCCTAATTGGGAGTATCTTGAGAACTTACAAACTCATGAAAGAATTCCCTTTCATAATGCAACCAGCAGCTCTTCTCCCCATTCACTTATACAACCACTTATTGATGAATATATACCTGGTAGACCATTACCTCAATTGACCAAAGATATATATATTTGTGATGTTTGGATTTCTCATTTAGCTGCAAACCATCTTCGTCTACCTCCAGGTACAGACCCTGGTCTTCCATTGAGTTTCTATTTGTCATTTGAAAATGATTGGGTCGAAGATGGAGTTACAACCAAAATAGTTCAACGTGGTAATCAACCTTATTGGTCGGAAGCTGTATTGGTTCGAATGCTATTGACACAAGATGTGGCAGACCTTTGTGATCAATATTTATTAGGTCGAGTTATGATTGAGACGCCTTTTGTGGAAGATATAGCAGCAGGATATTTTATTTTACCACTTTATGCAACAGGAAACTTTGATATTCCGATTCGATTGGGTGGAGTTTATGCTGGATGTTTATCTGGTTTGTTACAAATACAAAAGATGCCAATGACTGAAACGATGTTATGGGATGAGAAGAATGATTCTAATATTCAGTCTTCTTCTCAACACGACGTTGTTGTTGGAAAGGAGTTTGGACACTTTCATAGGCAACCCTCAACTCCTCCTTCTAGTCATCATTCTCCACATATCAAACGAACCAATAAGAAAAAAGTTCGTAAATGGGTCGGTAAAGTAACCAATATATTTCGAAATCGACATCGAAGTGGTTCAGATGCATTTGATACTCCACAAGACCATTTCACAAGTCATGATGAATGGACTTCTTCCATGAACCACAACACAGATGATGACTTGATTGCTACATCTCGTGGAATATCTGAAGAATATGGGGAGGAGGAGGATGACCCAAATAGACCATCATCCTCATCATCTTCTTCTGATAGAGAAGAACAAGTATCGGATCATACAAACAAACAACAACAACAACAAGATTGGTTTGATTCTTCAGCCCTCATTGAATTGGATTATGAGCCGACTGAATCCAACACCAGAACGAAAAGTGTACAAAGAAGCTTTGATGATTTGTTGATAAGCGAACCTGTAGAGACTAACAAGTCTTCCAAAGGCAAACCAAGTGTAGATGATTTGTTAAATTGTTGATATCCATCAACAACTCGTGAATATCCTCTTTTGTGAATGGAAGAGATTGAAATGGGAATATTGTGAATTGTGTTGTTGTTTTCATGATGAGAAGCGCTGGATTCTTTCGTTCTAGTTGTGTAAGAATATCTTTTAGATATTTCACCATCCTATTCATACCAGTCTAGTCCAAGTGGTTATTACATAAAGTTGATGCACCAAATGTTACTATCAAGCGTCATTGGGTTACAGAAACTTCTACAGGACTAAAAAGGACGGCACTTTATGATTCTCACCTAAAGTATGGGGCAAAGATGACCGAGTTTTGTGGATACGAAATGCCCTTACAATATAACGATGGTATAAGAGATAATCACTTGTTTGTAAGAAAGTCTGCTGGTCTATTCGATGTATCCCATATGGGTCAAGTTCGGTATGGACGAAAGAATCAATTGTCTTTCATAACTGAGTTCTTTATATATACAGTATTTATGGTCGACATAGAGTTTCCTTTTTGGAGCGCCTAGTTGTAGGAGACATAGCTGCACTTCCACCTTATCACGCTGTCTTGTCTTTACTAACCAATGAACAAGGAGGAATCATCGATGATACGATAGTTACCAATATGGGTGATCATATGTAAGTGAGTGTATTGAATGTATTGGATATATTCTTAGGGCATAAAAGTAATATGGTGATCAACGCTTGTTGTCGTGACAAAGATATGTCCCATTTACAACATTATGCAGAACAGGCACGAAGTAAAGGTGAAGAAGTGATCGTCGAACTACAAGAACAAAGAGGATTAGTAGCATTACAAGGTCCCAATGCTATGAAAGTGTTATCGAAACATGTTACTGAAGACTTGAGTATGTTGTATTTTATGAATGCCCGAATGATGTGGGTAGATGGTGTGGAGTGTTTGGTGAGTCGTTGTGGTTACACTGGGGAAGATGGATTTGAGATATCGGTTCCTAATGATTCCATTCAAAGAATATTTGATGGATTATGTGATTCTTCTATGGTTAGGCCAAGTGGATTGGGAGCTAGGGATAGTTTGAGATTAGAAGCTGGTTTATGTTTGTATGGAAATGATATGGATGATCGCACTACTCCAGTAGAAGCTTCTCTTAGTTGGACGATTGCAAAGAGTCGTCGCGTAAGTGATGATGGGTTGATTGATTGTTCACCATGTAATGAAATAGAATGATCGATAGGAAAGTGGAGGATTCTTGGGAGATAAAGTTATATTGAAGCAGTTGAAAGAAGGAGTCGAACGCCGTAGAGTGGGATTCCTATTACAAGGAGCTCCTGCTCGAGGTCATGAAAGTATCTTGGTGGATAATCAAGTTATTGGACAAGTCACAAGTGGTGTCTTTAGTCCATGTTTGGGTAAACCTATTGGAATGGGTTATGTGGAAAAGAAATGGGCAAAGTCAGGAACGTGCATTCAAATAGAAATAAGACAAAAACAAGTTTCAGGTGAACTTGTCAAAATGCCATTTGTTCCCAATCATTACTATAAAGGAAATTAAAAGTACTCTCTTCATGATGTCCACGAAACCTAAAGTACTTGCTTTATATCGACATATGTTGAGATGTATCAAAACTTTACCTCCGGAAGTACAGCCTTACTATAAGTATTATGTGAGACAGGTATGTGACTATGGCTTTTCACTAGAAAAAGTCACTCACTTATGATGGTTGCGGAGTACACAGCAGTTCAATAGCCACGCAGATGAGATAGAGGAAGAAAGAGTGGAAGAAATAGTATCCAAGTCACGTTCTTATATTCCATATATATTAAACAAAGTAAGTTGTTTATTATTCGTTTAAGAATATTTCCAACTCTAGCATAGTACAATAAACCGTAAACTAACGGCCGCGTGTTGGCTTGTTTTTCGAAAAATAGCGACCTTTAGGCTTTCTCTTCTTTACTATTCCTCTACTTATCGCAACCTTTGGTTTCTTTTTCTTCTCCGTTGCAGACCACTTTCTCTTACCGGCACCCATTTCTTCCACTTCTAGCAACTCTACAGGAAAGTCATCGTCTTCTTCTTCTTCTTCTTCCCAATACTCCATGGTTTTGTCACTATTCTTTTTGCGTTGCTTTTTGAGTTGTTCTACGTTTTCTTGAAACTGTTTCGTTTTTTGTTTCTTTTCCTTTTCTCTTTCCAGCTGTAGTTGTTTGGATAGTTTGGCTGCTTCTCGTTCTTCCTTTTTCCTTTGAATACGTTCCAATCTCTCTTTCTCAGCCATCAATCTTTCTTCTATTTTACCCATGTGCTTATCATCTTTTACCATTTCAGCAAAGTAGTCGTCTGGTCGTCGATAAGGTATTCCCCGTTCGCATAAGGTTTTTATCACTTGAGATACTGATTGAGAAGTTTGTTCCATAAACACTGATTCTCTTTCCAAGTCATTCATAGCCAACTTGTCCGTGAGGTGTCCAGGAAGAGTAGTCAACAGAGTGTCTTGTAAGTTACCCCTTATTTCTATGTTCTGGAAACTTTCCTCCAGCAGTGTTGGTTCGTGTATGGTTGCAACAAGAGTCTTTCCCTTTATCAAGTCCTTTGGTATTGCTTTTATTTCACCATCTTCTAACCATTCTGTGTTGTTATTCTGTTCCTTTAACAAATGATGAGAAGATGACGACGACTCCATCAATCAATATTCTTCATCTCCTCCATGGCATCCCTTCAAACAACTTGGATAGAATATCAAGCTCTACTAGTTTCCTTTCCTCGAGAAGATTTCTCCTCACATGTACAACAATGGTTACATCAACAGTGGTCAAGTGATCCACTTCTAGAACAAGCTATTTCTTGGGCTCGTAGTATTCCCCATGTATTTCCTAGTACTTGTTTGCAACAGTGGTCGAAATATGATGACGATGCTAGTGAAACAAAAGATACTGGAAAAGCTTCTTGTATTGGTCTTTTTCAATTGACTCATTGTGGTCAATACATTGCTTGTGTAATAGAAACAGATACCATAGCTATATTAGACTTACAACAACAAGTGCAAATACAAACTTTGCGTTCACACTTACAACATAACATTCGCAGTATTGCTTTTCGACCAACTTGTCCTTGGCAATTGGCAGTTGGTTGTTGGACGGGAATAGCGTGGTGGAAAAGGAACCAATTACACTGGTTGACTTGGAAACAACATAAACAAGTGGAATATATCAGTTGGAGTAAGGATGGTTCCATATTGGCGTCGTGGAGTAGTCTCGACCGTTGTATCTTATTATGGGATGTAGCACTGTCACAAGCTTTGGTATTGATCAAAGAAACGACGCTTTCAGTTTGTGACATTTCGTTTGGAGATTTCTTTTTATTTGTTGGATATTCTTCTTCACAATACCATTTTACAGTATTTGATACTTTAGAGTGGAAACCTCAACTATGGAAAAAACAACAACGACTGGCTAGTCGATGTAAAGTAGCTTGGAGCGAACATTCATCTTCCGTCTCTATCATAGCTTCCAGCAACAGATTATATGCACTCGACATATTTGAACAACAACTACTTTGGACAGAATGCATATCCAATGTACCCGATGATGCACATTTGTTGGATATCGTATGGGATCCCAGCGCGCAACGATTGGCAGTCATGTTATGGATACCTAATCAAGAATATCGCACTATTGTGGCACTTTATTCAACACAATGTGAACCCGTCTTTCGAATGAATTTTATGGGTTGGATAACGGGACCTGAATCTTCTTCTGAGCATGCTTTGTGTATGTCTTTTCAACCATCGAGTTGTTCATTTGGTGCTTTATTAGGTAAGTTGGAAATTTTCATTTCATCCACTTCTCTGGACCATAACATAATCATATAGCTATTTCTTGGAGTCAAGGAACGATTCAACTCATTCCACTTATCTTTGCCCAATAGTATCCTTTCATACTTTTCCTTGTTGAATAAGATATTGACAAAATGGACACTGGGTTTGATAATCGATCACCGGGGCTTGTTCTTGTTTCAATAGACCAACCACTTGTTCTAAAAAGTCCAAGAATCGATCATCTTCTCGTGGAATGGGCAAATATTCTAATCTGCCACCGAATGAAGCTTCCAGTGGTTTCTGTGAAAGAAATGAAGATGCATCCACTTGAAATGATTGTGGATGAAAAGTAATCAACCCCATATTACTTACTATGCCTATCAGTGGACCAGTTGTTTCCAAAGGATTCTCTAAACTCCAAGCATAGGCATGTAACTGTCTCGAATAAATGGGAGCCAAACGATTTCCTATCTGACTCGTTTTAAAGTCAACCAATCCAAGGGTACCATCATCCATTTGTAAGTAACTATCGATCTATCCACATAAAGAGTGAGTGAACTATAGATGCTCCTCCATGGCTAGCTATCCTTTTTTTTACCTTGCCTCTTAATACTATCCAAGCATCATATTTGGCCATTTTCAACGGTCGACTTTCAATCCATATGGCTGAAGACCGAGGCAAAGTAGCAAAACGACCACCGTTATTTGGAAAGTGTTGCCAAAACTCATCCGTTCTTTTACCGGAAAAGAATTGCTTCATTTGTTGATCGATGGCTCCAAACACACTAGGAAACGGTAGACGTGGACGATATGACTTGCGATGAACTTTCAAATAGAAACAACGAGGACACTCTTCCCATAAAAAAGTGAGGTCGCTGGGAGCAATTGAAAAGGTGTTGTCCGCTATACAATATTTGTGTCATTAGAGCAGTCTATAAAGTTGATAACTTACAATAAATCATTCTATTATTCGTCCCAACGGACAGAGTACTATTTGGTTGTTGGGTACTTGTTCCTTCTCCACTGTGATGTGACTTTTCCATCCACGACTGTACGGAAGAGACGGCATCGTTCCATAGTGCTGCGTGATGATGATTATCAATATTGTTATTTTCTTCTTTTGTTTTTTCTTGTGGAGGACCGGAAATCGGTGAAGAACGACGATTCTGTTTATCTCCTTTATTAACCTTTCTCTTAGGAACTGGTTGGTCGTCATCAGCAGCATTTGCTTTTTTACTAGATATGATGAGTGAACGATATTTGAATGATCCTACAGAAGACGGTTTTCTTGGTAACAACAAACAACACTTAATCCAACCTAAATAAAGCCTTTTACTCATTCTGGAACCCATTTTCCTCTACTCATGGGCCATCGATCAGAAAAGAAAGATAAAGTGTTTGGTTCCGTTGCCTTGTCCAATTCATCCATGACTATCCAACACAATGGAAAAGCTATTTGAGACTCATACGCTGCAGGATTCCTTATAAATGATATTCCTCGAACGATACGAAAATAGGTGGAAACAGAACCTGTTACCAGTTTCGCATGAAACGAAAAATACAAAATCCACAACATAATGCTTGAAAGTACGCGAGAACTATTCAAAGAATTGCCACGAATCCATTTCTCCAACAGCTCATTATACCAAGAAATACGAGTAGCATTCCCTGGTTGACAAGAAGAATAAATATTCCAAGCACAATACATAACCACCCATTGAGTCAACGAAAATCCAATAAGCATCGACATATATTCATCTAACGGAAAAGAAGTAGACTATAACAAGATTGAGAAAACAAACAAAACAAATATGGTGCTTTCCATTACCTTGTATAGTAACCAATCAAGTTCAGATGCTATGGAAGATTGATCTCCCCAACGTTCTTGTAGGGTTTGATTGATCACGCTGGGACATATCAGCCATTGTCTCAAAATGTCTTTAATCATATGAACATGTTGTTTCAACACCTGATAATAACGTTGACCAGTTCCCATTTTCTCTCTTTGATAACTTGCTGCTTTTGCCAACTCCTCAAAGGCCCTTCCAAGTTGTTCACGATGGTTAGGCTCATGTCGGCACAACCAAAAGTTGTATATTTTGGTAGTTACTGAGTCACCAAGTTTACGGGAATCATAAAATTCTCTTATAAACGACTCTGCATCCATCTGCCTTTCCGAATGAACTTGACTTTTGTCTATCCATGAAAGAACAAGTCCTTCCATGAGAGCTGATAGTTTAACGGATTTCTTCAAGTCTCTACAAAAAGTTGTTTGAATACTTCTTATATATTAGTCACAAGTACTCACCTATTCGTATAACTTTCTACCCAACTAGTCAATTCTTTCCATAGCAAATGATGACGACGACCACACACTCTTATCAAAGCAACCGTTCTACAGTCATTGAACAGCATATCAACTCGAGAATCCGCTTGAACAACTTCTTCCTCCATATAAGCTTTCTCTTCTTCTCTTCTTCTCGTGTTGACCAAAGATAATGTCTCTTCTATTCCTACAAATGACAAAGGCTCCAAATGAAAGCGAAGCAAAAGTTCCGTTTCCACCAAAATCAATTTGCTTTGGAATGACTCTTCTGACTGCATATCAAAACGGAAGTTTTCCATTAAATCAACTATGCAATGAATCCACTGCATTGCACTATAAACATGAACCACACTCAAATCTTGCCAATCAAATAATTCCACAGGAAATGCATTTCCATGAATCGATTTCAAGTAGTCAACCCAACTGATGGATGAAGCATTATTACTTAGATATCTATTCGCAATACTCAAATGATGGAAAAAGAGGCAAGTAATGGCTTCCATTGCCCTTCTAGAATGGATATAGCCGAGATTAATAGCTTCACGAAAGAAACGAAATAAAAAGGGAGATTCGCCTCCACCTCCATGCACTATTCTTCTCACGAGACAATAAGCTAAAATATATTGTTCCTTTGGAAAGAGAATTTCGTCCTCCATATTACAACAAGTTCCCACGACGCTTTTATCAGGTTGTGATACATGGTCAGTACATACAACAATATTCGTATCTTGTCTATTCAATTCACTCTCCGAAATGGACCTGACTTTGGGGTCTCTTGCCTGATATATCATCAGACAAAACTTCCAAGGAGTTACTGCTTGAAACCAAGCTCGGTCAATCACCTTATAAAATTTGTCTGCTAGTTGAAATATGTCCAATTCACTCAATATCTGTTCTGTACTTTCTACGGTAACTTGGCTAACGTCCAATTCTGTTGAGGGTTGCTTTCCTTCCAAAAAAACTTGTTCCATATGAGGAGAAGAACTAGCAAACTCTTCCAATTCAGGTAATACGTTCTTAAGTATACTTCCGAGGTTCTCATCCAACAAACCATCCCAATTAGAGATAAAGTCTCCAACCTTGAGCAAATCCTCTTCATAATAGGCATCAGTTGGTTCCGTACCACCTACTGCACTTGAAGAGGGAGTCGAACGTTGTTTTGTGCTTTCATAATGAAACGGGTGTTTAACGTCTTCTTGTTTCCACTTATCCATTTCACTCCCTTTTCAATAGGAAAGAGACAAAGTTGACTCATTGCAACATTTTGCATTTCTAAAGAGGGACGTGAAACAGAGGATGTTACGCGGTGTCTTTCAACTGGTGACGGGAGTAACTCGTGGTTTAGGAGGTAGAAAAGTTCACAGAAGATTCCCAAATGTCGATGAGAAACATCCAAAAGGAAAGTTCTTCCAAGAATCGAAGCAGAAAAAATTTGGTGCTCGTACGAGAAGATCCGGTTTTCTCATTCAGTGGAGTAAAGTGCCGAACATTGTGGTTCCAGATTTGAGAGACTTTGAGTTGAAACCTTATGTATCGGAAAAAGCACCGAAGATGTTCACCCCTCCTTTGGATAGCTCGACAGCTAAAATAACGGAAAGGGTAAGTAACCATACCCCATTTTACACAAGTCCTTTTACGGTGGAAAATGGATGAATCGTTTATATAACCACATTGTTTTGGTCTTCTTACCCCTTATGATTGTACAAGTGATTCTTGCAATATTCTGATTGAAATATTTCCCCAATATTGTGTATTATTATATTGATACTATTCTCACCAAAGTTTGTTTTTGTTGTAGGTAATAAGTGATTCTGCGACCAGTCATCAGTCCAGTTGAATATAACGTAATGTTACAACTCCAATGTATCATATGTAATAGAAAGCAGTTGTGTGACGAGTTCATTCGTCTAGAAGGAGCTGATATGTAAAATGTTCAAACACTGGCAATCGGTTAACATATATATATATATATATATATATATATATATATATATCAATATGTAAAGATACAAGTTTTTGAGTCTTTTCAATTCCACGAGATTTGTCTCCAGGAAAGAAGAAACAACTTGAAATAATTTCTTTACATTATGACGTTGTATTCTTTTATATCGAACAGAACTGGAACACGCCAATATCTTACGAAGAAGAAACTTGAGCACAATGTGGACAATGGTGAAAACCAATTCAAAGAACAGTCATGTCACTAGAATAGTTGTTCAAAATGGACGTTTTCAAGTTTTGTGATATATAGATACTGTTAAGAATACGAAATGATATGAATATTTGTTTCTTACAACCACATTTTATTTGGAAAGACAAAAGATGAACCATTTTTCTTTTAAGAAGACTCTTTTCTTTATATCCATTTCTTAGCTTTACAGAGAAACGTAAACTTGCTTCAATACAAAATACCTTAGAGTATCAAAGAATGTCTTAACATCCAGTCAAGCTCCTTTATTCCTATGTTGCACTGCCAATCATCTTCAACTTGCACTACTCTTCCACAATATTAAAGAAACCTTTGCAAAAAGAGACCAATCAGCAACTAGAAAACACTTTGTTGGACTAGCACGCATATTTCAAAAGAGACAAACGATGATTCCAGTTAGACAAGAAAACATAGCCATATAGAAACTACAAAGTCATCTTTAAATACTTTTCCAGATCAACTAGTCGCCTTAACAAGTATGGTCAACGCTTGTTGCAGTGAAAAGAATGAAAACTCACCTTCGACCTTCCGCCAACAAGAAAGCAATATGACTTTCCCGTGTTTCAGACGAATGTTTTCGAAACTCGGACTTTATTGCAAGTTTCAACTCCAGTTGAAACGACTAGACGCAGTTTAAGAGAGAAAAATACTTTGAAAAATCAACCTACGGAAGGAGCAAGTTTCACCAGGCGAAGAAACTCACTTGAGTCTTTCAGTAAGGCAAACATCCTTCTCGCATGCTCGTCTATGCTTACCGATATTGTTGACGAACTTGTGACTTGCGAATAAAAGTTCTCAATTCTTTACTAGTCATCATACTGGCTGGCCCAAGAATATCATTCCAATATCATATTCCTTCTTGTTTCTGAGAGAGAGAAACTTTTCTTTCATGAAATACAATATTATGGTTTATTCATTAGAGAAATGATGTTTGATTGAAATGGTTTATAATAGAAAATGATTGTAGATGGAACAAGAAGATCCTCTCTCTCATGTGTTCTCTCTCTCTCTTGGACTAATATCCTTTCATTCTATTCTCTGATTGATTGATTGATTCGTGGATGGCAACGACCCTATCCACGTCTCCTCCTTCTTATCCGAACCAAACTTGGTTTTCTACAACCAACGAAACTTCAGGAAATTGCAGTTTAGAGTCTGATGATGAATCGAAATCTTTCTATGATGGTATTTCTGGGTTGTCTACCGAAGAACGTGTTTCTTCTGCTTCCCTGTCCTTTTGTAGCAAAGAAGCTTCACCTGCCATTCATAGACACTGGACTATACAAAAGTTAGGTATAACTAGCCAAATATTAGGAACAGATGAGCAATCCAATCCGTTGGAAACTGATTCAGGACAAGTGCATAGTTGTTCGCCTTTGACAGCAACGAACAGCAGTGTCTCCAGTCCTGATGACCATCACGCCCATGATTTTTCAAGCTGTGTCCAAACTGAGTCGACTGACTGCAATGGTTCTGATGTATACTCTTCATCTTGGGAACCTTTGTTATTGGAAGACACTAGTCGTTTTGTTTTATTTCCCATAAGATATAGGCAAATATGGGAATTATATAAACGTGCGGAAGCTAGTTTCTGGACAGTTGAAGAAGTCGACCTATCCCAAGATTTACGAGATTGGAATTCTCTCCATTCATCAGAGCAACACTTTATATCCCATGTTTTGGCATTTTTTGCAGCTTCTGATGGCATCGTGAATGAAAACTTGGCAGCTCGTTTTAGTACTGAAGTTCAAGTACCCGAAGCGCGTTGTTTCTATGGTTTTCAGATGGCTATGGAAAATGTACATTCGGAAATGTACGCTTTACTTATCGATACTTATATTCGAGATATGGCAGAAAAGCGTCGTTTGTTCTACGCCATCGAAAATCTTACTTGTGTGAAAAAGAAAGCGGATTGGTCTTTAAAATGGATACGATGTTCCAGCAGTTTTGCTGAGCGTTTAGTTGCCTTTGCAGCAGTAGAAGGGATATTCTTTTCTGGTTCTTTTTGTTCCATATTTTGGTTAAAGAAACGGGGCTTGATGCCTGGTCTTACTTTCTCCAATGAGTTGATATCACGAGATGAAGGCTTGCATTGTGAATTTGCTTGCCTTTTGTATAGTCTTCTTCAACATCCGTTATCTCAAGTAAGTATCCCTTTTTCATCCGAGTACAAAATCCACTCATCCATCCTATATTATAGGAACGTGTGACAGAAATTATAGTCGATGCGGTGGATCATGAAAAGGAATTTATTTTAGATGCTTTACCAGTTGCTTTGATAGGAATGAATGCGGGTTTAATGTCACAGTATATAGAATATTGTGCTGATCGGTTATTACAGGCTCTAGGTTATCGTTCCTATTATCAAGTATCCAATCCATTTGATTGGATGGAGTTGATATCGTTACAAGGCAAAACCAATTTTTTTGAAAGAAGAGTAGGAGAATATCAAATGGCAGGAGTTATGGCTAGGAAGGAAGACCAAGTTTTTCGTACCGACTTGGACTTTTAATAAATATGAAAATTTTCGAAAGAAGTCTCTAGAAAGTATGCCATTTCCACCATTTTTGCCCAAAAGACGAAAAAAAGGGTTCAGGGCCGAAAGGGATTGAAGAAAACACGCGAGTGTGTGAAGAGAGGATTAAAAGTGTTGCCAAGTTTTACCAAGTTATGAGGTAAGTATTTTTGTAATAACAGCACAGTGGAGTGACAACGGAGAAATAGTCATATACCGGACTTTTATTGGGCACAACGCAAGGACAAACTGTTTCTTACCGTCGATGTTCCCAACGTCGACAAAAACCAAGCACAAATTCACCTCACAGACGAAGGAAAAGTCAGTTTCAAAGGAAAAGGAGGAGAGCTACACGAGAAAGCTGATTATGAACTAAACTTGGAACTGTTGCATCCCATCAAGGCAGAGGTGAGTAGATGGACTCTTGTGTCACCTGATCAGATGTATAAACCTTGGAAATTATGGGGAATAGGAATCAAAGTATCATATAACAGCTAGAAATATACAGTTTGTTATTATGAAGAAAGAAACGGGATCTTATTGGGAAAGATTGTTGAAACAACCGGGGAAGAACATCCACTGCAAGGTGGACTGGGAACACTGGAAGGACGAGGACTCGGAAGATGAATTTGACTTTGGTAAGTGACCATGAGATGTCTGAATAGCACTATAAAATAGATAAAGGTTCTGCGTGGGACTCTAAAGACATGGCTGATCTTGACTTTGGTTCAGATAAGGAAAGCAGTAGTGACGAAGGTAGGGGTTGAAGAAGAGGGTTTCAAAGGACTGGGTTCTGAAGAAATGACAAATATAGGAAGCATAGAAGACGGTGTAGAAGAAGATGGTTCCACCATGAAAGATGCGAGTCAAAATGAAAGCAACCATGAGAATCATTCCTAGTCGATGTATACATATTGACATATATCTCTCCTATAGATATATAAATATATGTGTGTTTTTGTGTGTTTTGAGTCGTTGAGTTCAAAGTACAATCCTATCTGGAAGAACAATAAAATCGACGAAGACTTTTTATGGCATCCCAAATGTAATAGAAGAACTCAAGTCTCTTATGAGACAGGTAAAGAACGGAAATGAGTCAACTGTTCAACAACGCCTTGATGAGTCAATAACATATGATGAATAAAACCTCCCACAGCTAACATAGCTAAACGACCATTTTTGATTTCGGCTACTTCATATCGTTTTCGAGCTTGCGGATCCTTTCCCAAACCAAGTGGATCGAAACCTGACGAGTTAATTGAGTACAACGACCCATAGATGGATATAAAAGATAACTTACCAAAGTCACCTGGCTTTCTATTAGGATCGGAAAACATATCCAACGGCGTCATTTTGCCCTTATTCATGACAAATTCTAACAACCCGATGAATAGAAAAATTTGCCAAAGACCTCCACTAGGTACTTGAAATAGAGCATCAATGGCAACTTTGTTAGAGAACACTTCACCCGGTAAGTGAACAAATTCTTGAACAATAAAACCCACGGCAGCCAACATGCAGATACGGCCATGTTTGATTTCCGACTCTCTCAACCACTGAATATCTAACAAGTCGGAGATATACAAAGGATCGAAACTAAGTATATTCACTCATCAATAAGAGACAAAATAAAAAGACACAACTCACCCTACATCTCCAGGAGCAGTCCCATCCAGATTCTTTGGTCTCTCAAGAAAAGGAACAGATAGGGACTTGGTACTTGCGTTGGATACTAAAGTTTGAAACAGACGGGGAACACACAGAGATTGGCGAGATAATGAACCTTGTGTAGTCTTTAGTATCTTCCAACTAGGATGATGAGGAATAAAGGCAGCACTGTAGACAGCATTCAACATGATTGTATCTAACCACAAACGAATCTCAACAATCTCGTACTAGTTTGGGTAATTCAACACCACACGCAAGTTCCCTACAAAAGAATGGATCTAATCATTTCTATGTGATTATTTACAAATGTTTTTTTATTCTGTGCGAAAGTGACGAGGCAATACTTCATTATCTGCAACAGAATGTACATACAAAGCATCCGGTGGATGATCTCGTTCCCCTTCTTCGAAAGTATAGGAGGAAGCTATCGCCAACTGACTTCCATCTGAACTAAAACTTAAGGAGGAAATACTGCAAGGAAAAGAACGCAGCTGACATATTCTCTTCTTAGAATCTCCATCCCATATATTCACAACTCCATCACCTCCTCCAGTGGCAAAAGTACCATAAACAGGATGAAAACATATCACATTGACAGGGAAAACCAAGTCAGCACCATCCGGAGCTCCTGCAGACTGTCGATGACACTTGAAAGAGAAACTAGCGTGTGAACTCGTTTCCAATCCATTCGACTCTAAAGAAGGAAAAGGTTGGATAGCCACTCTCCCTTCCGTAGATCCTATTGCAAAACGATTTGCATCGGGCGAGCAAGCTATGGAGCGTATTTGTTGGCGAATGGGTGACTCTTGAATATTCCAAGCTTTGTCCATCTTGCGTAAATCCCAAAACTCAAGTTTGCGTTTACTTGTACCAACTATACAAGTGTTCTGGTGCAAAGACAAGGCAAACGCCTTTCCTGTTAGACTTGCGGAAGATTTGCTTGTCGATAAATTGTCACGAATATCCCAGACTTGAATAGAGGAGTCCCAACTAGCAGTAATAACACTTTCAATAGTTTCACTGTAAGCCACACAGCGAACTCCAGCAGTGTGTTGTCCAATCAACTGGCCTTCAGTTGGTAAAGTCTAATAACCGAATAAGGAGGCTATTGGAGAAGAAATTCAACGTACCGACTGCATAGAATATAATAAAACTTGTCCTAAACTGTTTCCAGCGACTACTTGACGTTCATCTATCCAAGCACAGTCCAGCAACGGTGGATTTTCGTTGGCTTTCCCAAACTCTATACGCAAAGTTCCATCAACGGAATCATAAACGGATATACTACCAGCCCACGAAGATGCAAGAATAAAATACGAAGCAGAGTTGGTTCCAAAACAAACTTTTGATATTCCATCGAGTGGCGGAGGATAGAGTTCGGCATCCTTGGATGGTTCCATCAGCATTCCAAATTTGGTGAATTCTTCTTGTAAGAAATTGTGTTCATGAAACAACACAAAGTGGTTTTCATACACCCAGACTTGGGCATTGGAGGTGCAGAAAGGTGGCTTGTCGACGCTGCTATGGCAGTCTTACAGAAGGGTCACGATGTTAAGATATATACCGCCTCTTGGGATCCCAACAGATGCTTTCCCGAAACCAAGGACGGCAGTTTGAAAATAGTAAAGCCACCTTTCATGATTATTCCAAGAACAATATTTGGAAAGTTTCAAGCCATCTGTGCTCTTGTGAGATGTTTTTTGCTGACTATTTGGTTGTTGTTCGTGGAACCAACGCCCGACGTTGTAATAGTCGATGCAGTATCCTCGCCTCTTGTATTATTGACATTGTTCGGTATTCCTTCCTTGTTTTACTGCCACTTTCCTGATCTATTGTTAGCTAAAAGAGAAAACCGAAGTTGTTTATATCACAGCTATCGAAGGTGGATGGACAAGATGGAGGAATACACCTTATCACTGGCGCAACGAATAGTGGTCAACAGTCACTTTACGGCGCAAGTGTTTCAAGACACGTTTCCTGAACTAGCCAAGAAAAGTGCCATTGCCGTACTTTATCCGTGTATTGCCGTGGAGCCTTATGTACGACTGGACAGTCTATCTTCAACAACCATAGTATCTTTGAATCGTTTTGAAACTAAGAAGCACGTTGACTTGTTAATTCACGCCATAGCATATATACGTGATACACAGAAGCTAACCAATGAGCAGTGGATTGACTTGGTGGTAGTGATAGCAGGTGGCTATGATACCCGGGTTGATGAAAACGTCACATGTCTGCAGCATCTAAGGTCTTTAGTTGAACATTTAGACTTGACCAGTAAGGTCGAATTTCTGTTGAATATTTCTGATGAGGAAAGAAGATCTTTGTTGTCAAGTTGTAAAATGGTGGTTTACACACCCATCGATGAGCATTTCGGTATTGTTCCTTTAGAAGCAATGGCAATGAAGAAACCTGTGATTGCTCACAACAGCGGTGGACCAAAGGAAACTATTATTGATGGTGAGACAGGATTGCTTTGCGAAGACTCTCCTGAGGTAGGTTGCACCTTGTTGTGAAACTCTATTGTTTCATACCTTCACCAAAAGGACTTTGCTTGTGCTATTGTAAAGTTGCTCGAAGACGAAAAATGGGCTCAAAAGTTGGGAGAAGAAGGTTTCCTTCGAGTGAAACGGCGTTTCTCTAGAGAAGCTTTGGCTAATCAACTAGACGACATGGTGTCGGAGCTAATAACAACCAAGTCCAACGTAGGACGTGGATGAACAAAGCAAAAACAACAACACAGGTTGAATTTATACAACTGCAGGCGTATATGCCGTTTCGAAATCTGCCTCACCAGGCGGCTTTCGAACAGTGGCGTGAATGAAGGCAATAAGAGCAACTACAGCCACGAGGGAGGTAAAGGTTGCACCTGCTCCTGTAAGCCCTAAAAGTAACAGAGAGAAGACTAACAGAAAAATAGATTTGGCTCGATTATCCAGTTGCAAGTTTCCAAATACGAGAGCATCTGCGTGAAAAACGAACAAGTACAAATATGCAGCAAATATCATAATGAGACCCAAAATGGCGAATGGACTCACAAGGCTGTGCGTAGTATTAGTATCCAAAAAGCAAAGAACAAAGCAAAACATACACAGTAATCCCACTTAACACCAAGAGTATAACAGCATAGTTGTGTCCATAGTGTGTCAAGTTCTGTTGTAGCCTGTCTTTCAGTTCCGAAAAAGGCGGCAAGTTCATCTAGCGAGTTTGGTGGTTATCGGTTTGTAAATAGTTAACTGGGAAGCAAACCTGTGACGTGTTAAGAAACTCATTCCAAGGTTGGGAGTTGCTCCACACTTGGAAAAGTCGCTCTCGAATCTCTGCCGCAGTAGGAAGTCTGTCACTAAAAAAGTTCATGACAGGGTTTCTTGGGTTCTCGGAACCTGAAACAACATTTGCTGAACTATTGGTTTCTTCAGGAGTGGAAGCGGACCTTGCCACAAAATCAGTCATGTCCAATCCAACAATAATTTGGCGCAATGAAATTTATTCTGATTTTCATTTTTTCTTTTGGTCATTCTCTAATTAAATGAGAAACTAACAAATACTCATAACATGAACGACTCGAGATCATACTCGTTCTGGTAATTTTTCAGCTTCTTCAAAATTACCTCCTTCTGGAAACACCTCCCAAGGACTTGTGTAATCAAAAGCTCGATATTCTTGCGTAATTTCAACTGGCTCGATAACCACTCTCTTTTCTGTATCATCATAACGAACTTCAACGTATCCACTTAGTGGGAAATCTTTTCGGAGTGGATGCCCTTCAAACCCATAATCAGTTAAAATTCGTCGCAAATCAGGGTGATTATAAAAGAATACGCCAAACAAGTCCCATACTTCTCTTTCTGGCCAGTTCGCCCCTTTGAATAAACAAGTAGCAGACTCAATCGGGGTGACCTCATCAACGTGAGTCTGAACTCGTATTCTAGATGAATATTTAAGGGACAGAAGATTGTATACTACTCGAAATCTTTGTGGCTTTTGAGGAAAATCAGCAGCAGTACAGTCAATAAAGCAATCATACAAACACGAAGAGTGATCTCTAAGAAACCGCAGTACAGGTATTGTCTTGTCATGCGGAACTTCTAACACCATTTCTCCACCACCATGAGTAGTATCGTGACCTTTGTGAATGTATGCGGCTGTTATCCCCGCTGGAATCATTTCAACGAGTGAAGCAAGGAAGTTTTTCTGTTGGTTGAGAGCAGTATTTTGTTCAGCTGTCTTGTCGGGGCTAGTACTACAGAAAGGTTGTCGCCTTGACGAGAAGCAAGTTTGTGTCCCCCAATAGCTCTTTGTTGTAGAGTAATACTTATATGGTTGTCTCCATAGATAAAACATACTTTTCCATACATGATGAGACGCCATCATCAACGATTTCAACAATCGATTTTCAAAACAACTGCTTTATTATGAGGATGGTAGGATTGTTTCCAATATTGCATATATTGTTGAAAATGACACATGGTATTTGTGCAATATAAGAAGCCTCTTTTTCTCAGGCCGAAATCTTATTGAAGTTGTTTGCTACAACGAGGAGAGAACTAAGTAGCTAGTAGTAAATGCAAAGTCTTTATGAAAAAGCCATAAACCAATCTAATAGAAACTCTCTTTTGTACAGACTTGAGTTGGTAAAACAAGGTCGAAACTCGGAAGCTGTGCTTGTGAACGGATTTGATATTGCTGTAGAAAGCCTATTTACCAATAAAAAACATATTTCCTTTGTTTTCCTTGGATATGTAAAAAACTCCAATGGGCTTCTCTCCCTTTCCTTTCTCACAGGCCCCGCTTCCTATCAGCTTTAATCATTCATTAGTACTTGTCGTCGACGCCGATTCAAGCAGTTTTTACCGTATTGCAATGGCATCGACAAGTGGGGAAGTTCAACAGAAAGGGAAAGAACAGGTAGTGAACAAGCTTCCTTGTACCAATCACCAAATGCTAAACTTTTTGGAAAGGTTGGACAAGACAAAGAGCAGTCGGCGAGAACGTCTGACAAGATAACCAAACCAAAGAGAAAATGGTATCCTGCGGACGACGAACCAAGAAAGCGAGTCCATCGGAAAAAAGTGCAGAAGCCTACCAAATTACGTGCTTCCATTACTCCTGGCACGGTTTTGATCCTTTTGAGTGGTCGCTTCCGAGGAAGGAGAGTAATATTCTTAAAGCAGCTCGCAAGTGGCCTTTTATTGGTTACAGGACCATATTCATTGAATGGAGTTCCTATGCGTAGAGTTAATCAACGTTATGTTATTGCAACAAGGACCAAGGTTGATATTCAATCAGTGGAGATCCCAGCCGTAGATGATGACTGGTTCAAGAAGAATAAGAAAAAGCCAAAGACAGAGGAAATGACAGATACTGGGAAAACAAAACTTCCGGAAACTTTTATCAAGGCTCAACAAAGTCTAGATTCTCAACTTGTTCCTTTAGTGAAGGAAGTACCGTTCTTGAAGAGTTATCTATGTTCTAGATTTTCACTATCTTATGGACAATTTCCTCATGAAATGAGATTCTAATCGGTTCAACAACAGATGCGAAGGCATTGTTGTGGAGCAGAATAAAAAAGAAAACGATTCCTTTCATTCTTTTTTTTTGGCTTTGGGATTCGTAGAGCTTCTTGTAGTTCTGCTTCTCTAACCACAACTTCTTGAAAACAACACGTAATAAAGTGTTGTGTGTTATGTGTAACATATTTAAAATATTGCACCAGGAGAGTAGGACGTTTTCTTTTAGATAGTGAAGTAAAACTTTGGAGTCATGGACCAGAAAAGTACGACCTGCTTGGAGGCACTAGCCAAGTTAAGTCAACAACGAGAACACCAAACAACACCAGCCACTTTATGTTCCTCGGAGCACTTTTTTGCCAACGAAACCATTTATTCGGATGCAACGTTTCTTTCAACTACTGAAGAAGCATTTATTTCGTCCCCTTCTTCTTCGACACAAGGACCGAAACCTGGATTGAAAAGGGTTTCTACAGGACCTATGACCCGTATTTTGGAAGGTTGCCAAAATGACAAACCTAATTCACCAGAGTTGGAAAGAGTGGAAGAAGCCGAAGATAACTACTCTGGAACAAGTAGCGAGGAAGCTTTTTCTCAAGGCATTCCTTATCCTCACCAAGTAGGTGGCCATGGCGCACTCTCGAGTTTTGAAAGAGGCCGTGTTTTGAAACCTGCTGCAAAGAAGGAAATAGACTTTTATAACTTCATTTATAGTGACAACTTGCCTTCAGAGCTTGAATGGCTTCGTACAGTAACTCCCAAGTATTTTGGTCAACGTAAGACCCAAGCAAAGGCAAAGAGAATACTGGAAAACCAAGTGACGCCCTTTTCACAGACCTCTTCGGTGCCTGTGAATACGGTTCTACACATAGACAGGAAAGATAGTGAGAGAAATATTTGGAAAGACCAAGTAGGAGAGCTGGTCATGGACACCAATCCTTGGGCGAGAGCTTGTTTATTGAAAGAGCTACAAAAGGAAGACGAAGTCAAGTCGTTTATTATTCTTGAAGACCTCACTTGTCATTTGAAGAAGCCCTGTGTTTTGGACTGTAAGATGGGTACAAGACATTACGATGATGATGCTACTGAAGAAAAGAAGAAAGCACATATAGAAAAAGCAACAAAAACGACCTCATCTTCTACTGGAATTCGTTTTACAGGCATGCAAGTGTATAAACTGCCATCGCATACTTTTTTATTTCATGACAAATACTACGGCCGTCAGTTGAAGTCTCATGAGTTGAAGAATGAACTTTTTGAATTTTTTCATAATGGAGTACTTTTGCGAGTTGATATCATTGAACAGTTTCTTTCAAAGCTTCAATGGCTTTATCAACATTTGGAGAACCAACATTATTTTAATTTTTATTCCTCCTCCTTACTATTTGTATATGAAGGTGATGAGATGGCTACCTGTCCTATTTCGGATGTGCGAATGATTGATTTTGCACATACACAACGTTGTGTTGAAGAGCAGCAGAATGATGGTTATTTGTTTGGGTTAAGTAACTTGATTCATTTGATGAAGTCCTTGTTAGAGGATGAAAGAAATGAAATGAGGTGACTTGGGTTGATGAAAAGTGATCGGTTCATATGAAATAGTCGGGGTAATTGGAATATTTCAACGAGTGCTTCTTTCCTACTTTTGCGAATATACAGTGTTGAAGGAAAAGTTATAAACTAAAAAATTGTCTTTTTTAACGGTGGGAAAGTTGTTCAGATAACCAATCCAGTCCTTCAAAAAGTCCATCACCGTTGGTTGCACAACAAGACATAATAAACCAAGTTCTGTTCCTCAACGACGGCAGTGCAAGAGCGTTTACTATTTCAGCTGTGGAAGCTGCGTTGGGCAAATCCTGTTTGTTAGCAAAAACCAACAAAACAGCGTCTCTCAACTCTTCCTGACCACAAAAAGGACGTTAGTAAACATTACGTCATCACTCCCACTTGAAAACCTTACCTCTGACAACATTTTGTGGAGTTCTTCACGTGCTTCTGGAAAGCGCTCCCTGTCGTTGCTATCCACTACAAATATGATGCCTTGGGTATTTTGGAAATAATGGCGCCACAGTGGACGAATCTAGTTAAAAATTAAGAAAAACTCGGGTTTCAAACGGTCAAAAAACGCAGGGGTGCTTACCTTATCTTGGCCACCAACGTCCCACACTGTAAAACTGATATTTTTGTATTCCACGGTTTCCACGTTAAAACCTAAAGATCAAGTAAACCCCACTTTCAACAGGTCACCGAATAGCTTTCTAACCGATAGTAGGGATCGTGGTGACGATTTCGCCGAGCTTGAGCTTATACAGGATGGTAGTTTTTCCGGCAGCGTCGAGACCAACCATGAGGATTCTCATTTCCTTCTTTCCGAACAAACGTGATAACAACTTAGAGATGGAGAGACCCATGGTCGTTTCTGTAAAGTTTCCAACAAATAGTGACGACTAATCAACAGTCCCACCCAAAGACAACAACCAATGCAAAGTAAATCGATGTCGTTGAATGTGGATGAGAAGAAGAGGGAGTCATTCTGTCTATTATGGATGAAAGAGTCGTGACTTTCTGCAAGAAACTTTCATATGTTTACTTTAAAAATATCGTTTTCCTACAACTCATCTCTTGAAATGTTCATTTTATTCTTCGAGTGAGATCCATTATAACTACGGTTTCTACCAACTAGTAACTTTTCTTTTTCTATTGAAATCAACAAATGATCATATTGGATACCTCTTCGTTCTTTCCTTGGTCATTTTCATTCTACTCTGGAACCTTCTGACTTACAATGGATCGAGTGTTGTGTCTCCCCTCCCAAATAATTATAGCAAGTCCCGTCGTCACAGCCCGCTCTTTCCAATTTTGAAACAAAATTTTTGGAAGTGGGTGAAAGTTGTTTTGTTTCTCTTATCGGATACTTTTTGTAGACAAGTATGGTGGGACGGAAGAGACAGACAAATAGCAAAAGCACGTCGAATGATTCTTCCAATGTAGACGCACAACAAACAAATTTATCTACCAGTAAAGAAAACTTGCCTCCAGAGACTCAAATAGATAAGAAGGAAGAGTTTCGAAATAAAATCAACTCAATCCTCGACGAATTCGAGTTGGAATTTCAAGCAAAGATACGCGGGTTGCAAGAGTTGGCAGAAGCACACGCAGTGACTCTACAGAATTGTATGGCTGTTCAACTCGTGAAGATACCTAAGAAAGTCCGTGAGATGTCACTGGCGGACTTTCGTCAACAATATCGAGAAGATGTATCGACATTCCTAATGACAGAAATCAAAACGGGTATTAAAAGACAGCTAAGAAGCGGAGTGAAAAAGAGAAAAACCAAGAATGAACCTGAATCCTCAATCAAAGATACTGAAAATAAAAGAAGAAAGCCTCCCCTTCCTCCAACTGCTACAAGGCCTTCTGTACAGTCACTTACAACAGATCGACATGAAACAGACGATATAAATATATGGGCATCTACACCAGCATCTGCCGTGATGAGAAGGAGGAGAAAGTTAGTAGCAAATATAGTAACAACCGAAACTGAAAGGGTCAATGAAGAGACAAAGCAGCGACTACAAAATGCAACTCCCAGAAATATCCAAACAAAAGGGAAAAAGAACTTACAAAGTGAACAAAAAGGAACCAAAGAATCAGAACCTGAGCATAAGAGCATTTCGAAACTTTTGCAAGAAATGAGAGCATCACATATGACGCCTGCACAAACTACAACGAATCGAGTAAGTGACGGACTGGAGACCTATTCCGAACTAGATATTCCACTACAAATCCAGTTACGAAGTGGAGCCAAGATTGACTTGTCTACTCCTCAAACTTTGCATAAAATAAGTGGGACCAGTAAGGAAGAAGCCAAATTGAAGCTTAGTATGTTGCAAGAGCGAATAATGGAGTGCTTAAGAGAATTAGACCAAGACAACAACGAATAACTCATATAAAAATATACAAAACAATATCATTTTGAAAAAAAAATTATCCATATTAAGCAACGGCGGAATGTTTCATGAAATGAAGCTTTGGAGAAAAGTCTCGAGCAGTTTTGCGTGCCCATTGATCTGCGTATAATATATCGTCCAATGAGGGACGCTCAACGAATAGTCCAGTCTCATGATGACTCATTGTATGTTCAATAACTTTTGCTATTTCAAGATAACTGATTTCATTGTTTCTAAATCTGAAGACAGCTTCTTCATTTGCAGCATTCAATACTGCAGGCATTGTTCCACCTCTCTTCCCTGCTTCATAAGCCAAATCTAGACAAGGATATTTGTTTCTGTCAGGTTCCTTAAAAGAGAGTGTGCCTACTTTAACCAAGTCAAGAGAAGAGTAAGGCAGAAAGAGACGATGTGGCCAGCTCATCGCATATAATAAAGGAAGACGCATATCCGGCCATCCCATTTGTGCAATTACAGAAGTATCACATAACTCTATCATCGAATGAACAATACTTTGAGGGTGAATGACTACTTGAATATTGTCGTATGCTGTACCGAATAGGAAATGCGCTTCAATAACTTCTAATCCTTTGTTCATTAAAGTGGCGGAATCGATAGTTATCTTAGCTCCCATAGTCCAATTGGGATGTTTCAAAGCATCGTTTAGAGTAACGTAATGTAAGTCTTCTAATGGTGTGTCTCGAAATGCTAAAGAAACAGTTCAAAACATGTCGAATGATCAATTCTTCTTAGCTCACCTCCACCTGATGCAGTCAAAATGATCTTGGATAGGGCACCACTTGGTACTCCTTGCAAGCATTGGAAAATTGCAGAGTGCTCCGAATCTGCAGGTAAGACATTGACTCGGTGTTTTTCCACCAAAGGAGCAATTACAGGACCTCCAGCTATCAAAGTCTCTTTATTTGCCAAACAAATGTCCTTTCCTGCTTTTATGGCAGCCACTGTTGGAATAAGACCAGCACAACCCACAATTCCAGTCACAACCAAGTCACTTTCTGGGAAGCAAGCACAATCAACCAAGCCTTGTTCACCACCACCTATTTGACAATCATAGTCCAAGTCCTTTAACAAAGTATGCAGCCTTTGTAATTGGGTAGTATCAAATACTGCAACAATCTTCGGCCGATATTTACGAATCTGAGACACAAACTGATCCAAACGTGAGCCTCCACAAGCCAGACCCACCACTTGGAAATTTTCTGAACAAGCATCCACAATTTCCAAAGTTTGTGTTCCAATAGAACCAGTAGAGCCTAAAAGGACAATTTTCTTGTGTACTTTAGTAGTTTCACTTTCACTCCAAGCTTGGGTCTGCACCGGAGCTACGGGAGACAAGTCTTTGGTATTAGCTGCCAAAAACACCGCTCTGAAAGACTCCTTCTTCTTTTGTCTACTCAAAAATACACGTAAATTACCTTTTATAACCTTGTTGCACTTTTTACACAAAGCATAAGAGTTTTGAAAAGACAAAAGTGAATAACTAAACAGCATAAGATGGTTGGATTTGTGCATTCTCCTGGAAAATAAAATCTCCACATTTCTTTTGAACCCACTGTTACATATTCTCCTTCATAAAGGCAACTAAGCCAGTTATATCTCTTCTTTTCTTTTCAAATATTACAGGGTGCTCTTTATCATCTCTATGGAACCACATGATAGTTGGCAAAGATTCAATATGGTACCTCGAAGCCAAAGATTCACTTTGAGTGACATCTACTGCTGCACAAAATACTCTCGACCTTTCCTGTTCAGCAAACTTTATTAGTTCCGGCTTCAATCCTCTACAGTATGGGCACCACGGCGCATAGAAAGTTATCAGTACATCCCTTTCTGCGTTGTCCAAAAATTTATCAAAGTTGTCATCCGATAACAAATAAACTTGCGTATTTTGAAAGCTCATAGTGGTACTGAACCACAACTCCAACCCACGAAAACAAATATAGGCAAAGATACCCATCGCAAAAAAAGTAACTGTGCATACGAGCAAAGCTACTTTGACCTGACTGCTGGTATTGCGTCTTCTAGGTACAGCCATACTATATAATAGTTGTGTTAATTTTATTATCAAACACAGTTCATTACGTAGAAATCCATTATGCCAAATCCGTAAAGCCCAACAATTCGAAAACCGCATCCAATCGCTCTCCCAACTCTTCTCTCTCATCGAATGTTCGGTCTTCTGAACCGCCAAGCGCTACTGCTGACTCACGAACATCTTCTACAATGGAGCGAGCTGCATAGGGTTCAAGACGAGATAATAGATCGGTAAACTCATCCCCTTCTTTACTTGGCCGAACAAGATCCCAAAAATCTGCTGCTATAATAAGGCAACAGGCAGCCCGCAGAGAACTCAAAGAAAAAGTCTCTGCTATTTCCAATAAACTGACGGCATTCTCACATGACAAATTTTGTATTAATAAAGATGCACAACTCTCTTTGATTCCTGGTACTAGTAACATTTCTCCAGCATCTAAAATATCAACAACCATTTGTGTCGACAATTCATTCCCTATGAACAACCGTTCACAATACAAATAATATAAAACATGAGAAAGTATAAATGGATCCAACTCATCCAAAGTCCAAGCCTCATAACTACTCATATCTGTATTATAATCTTTCCGAAAACTCTGTAAGCCTTTAAAGTATTCACTTCTCATCAACACAAATCGATGACAAAATAAAAATCGTTGCTGTACTTTTAATATTACATCAGCATAGAGATTCCCTGGACAAGCATGAAACCATTCCAAACAACTTTCCATATCTCCATCAAACTCGGAAAACTCTTTGGATACATCTAACAGCTTCAAACCAAGTTTAGAAAAATCTTCATGCAAACTGTTCAAATGTTTGTTTCCGTAAATAAGAATGCGAAGACTGTCTCCACCACCAGCTGTAATTTTCGCTAAAACACGATGTTTCATTTCTCTTTTAGCTTCAGCAATATTCAACTCTCTTAGAATAGCTTTTTGGAGTCCTTCTAAACGACATTGTCGACATAAAGCTAAAAATGCTGAAGTATCTTCCTCCGAAAGATCCAAAGATGCAGTATACAGGTATTTTACAAGAGCATAGAATGCACGAAAACTCAACAAAGGATGCTTCAATTTTATGCGACGTTTAAACCTCCAACGTTTTTGAATAAGTTCTTCAAAATAGGGACACCTTGTGGCTAAAACAATGCGATGAGCATACACCTGGTTGCCAAATATTTCAAAATAAATATCAGCATCACTGTCTTCTCCCCATTGTTGAAGACTCTCAAAAACTCTTCTCAAATATCCAGAGAATTGATCTTCACCACGTGGTAAAACCTAAAAAAATTACGTGTCTCCTCATCGAAAATAAAGGAAGCCAATTGTGCTGACCTGTCCTCGAAAAGCTAGCAAAGTATCTCGAATGTCTTTGTTCAGTGCCGCATAATAACAACGTTCTCCATCAAAAGTGTCCACGTCACAGACGGCACCTTGCTCCAACAAATAGCGAACCAAACCTCATAACAGAATATAATAATTTAAAATACAAAAGTCGTTTAAAGCTTACCAACGTGACCACAGAGGCAACTATAATAAAGAGGCGTGGCATCCCAAGCATCCCTCACGTTGAGTTCAACACCTTTTTGAACAAGTGCTTGAACACTTTCAATGTCACCAATTCTACAAAGTTGGAAAATGGTTTGACCCTTCACAGTCCAATTGACAGTATCAACATCTGAAGGTACCAAGCCCTGCTTCCTTAACAGTGCTTGAAGTGACGCATATGTATATATCGAAGTTTCTTCATCGTATTCGTTCTCGTCTAACGAGCTGCGTTCACTTTCTGTTTCTTGGTTCTCCCAAAAGTCATCAACATCAAACTCCAAAAGTTTTCGAAACTCAAGATCATCTGGAGCAATGTCTGAAGAAACCATTACACCAGACATTCTGGGCAGGAAAAATTATATGCTAAAATATAAATTTGTCGCAAAACACTGAAATCATCAGTCTAAAGATTGAACTACGTTAAAAGTTGTCATAAATTAAGAAGCTACAAGAAGCATTTATTTTTCAAGAGAAAAATAAGTTAAGAGGCAAAAATTTCATGCTACTCAAAACCTATTTAAAGAAGTCATGTATTTTTCAATACAAATTAAAGATAATGAATAATTTTCGATAATTTCAGATACCATTTCTAAAGAAATACCTTTCTTATTCAATATCAAAAGAATTAATTAAAAGTTTATTTGTTCCGAGCTCGGAAAATTAACTAATTGAAGGATTTTTATGATTTTTCAACAAAGAAAATGTCCAATTACGAACATCGACTAGGTATGAAATCGCAATATCGAAACTATGTGTTTCAAAATTGAACTGCTCAGTATTTCTTTATGCAATTAATTTTTTTTCGGAATTTTTAAAGTCTCTTTTCATTTTCTTTTTGACCTTGTTTTCTAATTTATTTTTTATTTACGATGTGCTTGTCTGTCCGGACAGTCTTCTAGTTTTCTTTATTGAGAAACACGAGATATTTCACTTCAAACTCATTTGCTATCTTGCGATCTTGAAAACGCTTTTTACCAAGTTGAATGCAATATTTAAAGAGATATTGCAAATTATTTTTTGTCTGTTTTTGTTTTTGCGTTAAGATGCTAAAGCAACCCCAAAAGAAGGGAAACAGCTTTATAAGGTATTGTGTAAAGTGCTGTTTTTTTCTCTACTTCAATCTTTTTTTTGAGAGAACCACTGAACCTATTGTAGTCTTCGTGATAAAAAGTTCGAGTTTGTTTACAGTTTTATTGATTTGTTTTTGAAACATATTTTTAAATTCCAAGCAATCTTCATTTATCCCTGTTTATTTGAGAACCGTTTTGAATGGTTTAAAGCAGAACTTTGAAAAATGATTTAGGTCAGTTTCCTTTACGAAACTAATACAAATGACCTGTGCTGATTTCATGTAAAACTTTTAGATTTCGAGGGACCCTCATTGAGGCCGAGTGAGTTGTCCAAGTAGAGTAGTCGTTTCGAGAAATTAAGCCGCTAGAGGGGATTTTTCATGCAGAAGGAGCAGAACACCTCCTACGGGGAGGGTACTCCGTTGAGAGGTTGTGCTGATAGAGTAGCTTTGGAAGCTATTTTCCCTAGAGTTTGTTTTCCACACCGAAGGCAAAGCTCCAGACGTGTGCCGCAACGTCCTCTATTCTTTCGCCATTTTCGACGCATACCTGAAAATCAAGTGTCGACACTAGAACAGTTACAAGAAGCTCAGCCTTGTTTGAACGAGTGTTGTGAGAGTAATTTGGATGAAGAAGGACTTACAGCGCCGGAAAGGAGAGTGAGAGATTGTGCGACGAGTTCACAATACCCCCCCTTGACCCTTGGAAACATTTCACAAAGTGGCGTAGTCGAACACTCACCTATCGACGGTAGGTTTTTTTAAATATCCTAAACTTCTTTACTCATTGAATTCCTAGTGAATGACGTAGATTGCACTTCAAGAGAGAAGATGGATTTAGAAAGCTGTGACCTTTCATATCAAGCCCAAAGATTAAGTCATCCGTATTCTGAACAGTTATCCCTTGACCGCTTTTTACATCAACGGGAGCTTTGTGAAGATAGGGAAGATGAAAGTTTTCAAGAGTTGGATGAAACCCAGTTTGTAGAGTCACCCGATTCTGTGTCTTTTATTTTATCAGAATTGCAAGGGATCGTTGCATGTGTGGATTCGAAGCCTTCATTAGCAACTGGCTCTTGTAGTTTTATTAGAGATCGTCTGAGAACGTTATTAGTTGTATCTTCTTCTTATGCTCGTCAGAATCAAAGTCAATTGCGTGAAAGTGGTTCTGTTTGTACAGAAAGTGACAGCTGTGTGTGTTTAAAGAAGCATTGGGACTCCACTTGTTCGAGTTTTTTATGTTTACAACCTTTCTCCTTTTTACCTGATGATATCGTTAGACTTATTCTTCGTTTTCTCGAAGCGGATGATCTTGGAAGGGCTCGTCGTGTGTGCAAGAAGTGGTACGAGTTTTGTAGCGATGAAAGTCTTTGGAAAGAGCAATGTTTGAGTCGTTGGCGTTCACTTGAATGGGATGAGAGTGCTTGGGCCTTGGTGACTGGCGACATGCCTTTGGAGGAGAATTATAGCAGAAGATGGATGTTGCTTTTCCCTCGTTTGAATCAGATGCCGTATTATTGTTGCCGTCTTCAGAAGACTGGTAGGTTTATCTGCAATTTGCGTGCACATCAATTCGGAGGCAATCCCTTGATTCCTTATGGTCTTGGACAGACTTTGATTGTGGAACGACGATTCAATATATCTCATTTGGAAACGTTTGTGTTACCTGATGCAGCACGTTTCTATTTTGAACCTGAAACTCGAGAAGATGAAGAAGGTTATTTTGCATTTATTGAATATCTTCTTCATCGGAATAGGTAAGTGTGCAGTAGGGTATTGTTTTGTTTGGAAGCTAATTATTGTCAAACTCATTAGAGCTGGTCTTGCCTTGGAAGGAGAACGAAGAATCATATTTATTCCTCCTTGTGATTATTCAAGCCATTATCTCCAGTATAGTGGTAAAGGACTTGTTGGTATAGTGCAACGTTCTTATCCTCCTCTTTCTTAATCAACGTTTTCTCTGAATTGGTTGTTTCATATATATATATATATATATGATGCGAATAAAAACAAACAATGATATTGTCCTTTGACTCGTTCATCAACCATTATTTTCCTATTATTCCCACCATGGAGAGTTATAACTCTCTTACTATTCACACAACAACATGCATCTCTTCCTGTATATTTCATAGTTATTCTTTTCATCGTATATTGTGTTTGGTTAGACCAAAGAAGATGACGAATCCAAAGTTTCGTTTCTTTCTTCATCTACAAAACTTGAGGTTTCTTTGGATTGACCAACAACTATGGTAGACATATTATTATAATTGTTGTTGTTATTGACCGTCATAAAGGTGGACCACCAACTATTTCTCTTCAACATTTGACATAAACTCGGTTGTGTAGCAGAAGCAGATATCAATTCTTCTGCCAATCGTTTGACATGTCCCATATAGGACAACCAAGGAGCAATCTTTCCTTCTCTTCTATCTACCGCCACTAGAAGCCATGATAAGTTTTTTACTTTCTACAACAAATATGAAATACCTTGATATATTTTTGGAACCAAAACATCCAATAAATTCTGACGCAGTTCATAGTCCGTATTTCCTCGAATGATGGCAATGACTAGACGTTCTATTTCGGAATGTAACACATTGTGATTGGGATAGTCGAAAAGCAACTGAATGATGGGAGCTATCACTTCTATTGAAAATTCATATCAAGTATGGGCAACTGAACCATTCTCTACTCACCTGCTTGTACGAGAGCACTTTGTACATCGATATGGGGAACTCCAACTAGAGCAGTAAAAAACTTGACCAATTGCAATCGATGTAAACCTAACCAAGACGATGATGGACGATCCCAAGATGTGGTGATTCGATTCTCCGATAAAGAGCCCAAATATAACAATGGCTGTTGAGGTGCTATTTGTAACATATTCACAGCAAACTCTACATATTTCAACAATACGGATATAAGAGGAGGAAGCTCTCCCCAGTTATTCAATTCCAATCGAATATCCAAGAAAGCTGCCAACACTTTGGTTGCAGCACCGAATAGAAAATGAACTCCTGCTAAGAATTGGGAATGTCGGGCTATGAATTCCATGCGCTTGGAGGAATCCCATTCCATAAATAATCGATCATAAGCTTTGTACAACATATGAAGCATATGATCTACGATGACATGTGCTTCCGGTTCCAATTTACGATAATCTTGCTTTTTTTCCAAAGATGAGAGTGGCTTTCCATCCATAGGTTGAGAAGAAGATGCACTGGATAAATCTCCTTTGGATTTGTCATGAAGTATAGCAACTTCTTGAGAAGAGTCCATTTCATCGGTTAGACGTAAATTGACGATAGCCAAACGACTTAATACACGACTAATGGCACGCAATACTTCTACAGCATTCCCAGGTTCCGTTACATTTGTACTATTTTCTATACTATTTTCATGGATAGGCAAATCTTGTAACAAAGCAACATACAATCGATGCAATAGAATGCGAACTAGTCGAATACAATTATCACTTTGAAATAGCCATTCTAAAGTTTGTTCTCTTTTGGAGGATGGGTTTGTAGAACCAACTTGTAGCACTTGACTTTCTTCTTCTTCGACATCACTATCGACACTATATGTTGTTGCTTCAGGTTCCACTTCCTCTTCAAAAGGAAAACGAAGATAAGCTCTACTCCAAGTTGATTCTTCATCCAAGTTACTGGCTTCTCTTTCATCTTCATATGCTTCGACTCCAGCATATGAATAAGAAAATAAACGAAGAGAAATCCCCGTCGATAACATTTTCAATAACAACTCTGTAATAGAACGCAAATGGATTCCTCTCACTAAAGCATGTAATAGAGTAGTAGGCTCATCCATATCTTCACAATAAGGAAGCCTAGAAAATGCATAGTTTCTTACAAACGTCAATAAGGCTGTGCCTTTTTGATATTCCAATAGTGCTTCTAATATTTTGTTAAAGTGGTTAGAGCGTTCATCATCCAACCAAGGAGGTGATGATAAAGTTAAGGCGTGTTTGGTTTGGGATACAAGTTTTTCGTTGGTGCCATCCTTTTTCTCTCTCAACTTTGGAGAAACATCCGAAGACTCTGAAGAAACATAACATTCTTCGTCGGAGCCTGTACCGTTACCTACGGAAGAATAGGAAGCGGCTTCTGGAGATGAGTTTTCAGGAACACCACCTCCAAGTAGACGTGCAAAGAAACTCGCCATCAAGTCTTCATCTTCAGCCAAAACTTTCAAAACGGATGGTACAGAAACTAGAATTTGAACGGATAGTTTGGGATACTTTTTCACTCTATTGTCTTGAGGTGAACACTTGGGTGGAGGAGGATCCAGAGCATAAGTCAATAAGGTCTGTACAACTCTTCTACTTGATAGTCTAACTTTATCTAAGTAGAGTAGTACCAGAAACAGACTTATACTTACAATTCCTTGACAACTGTATCCAGCGCTCTTTTACTTTCGTTGTCCATATCATAACGAGAAGTTTCCAAAAGCTCGTTTTCAGGCCATAAACGAAAGTCTAACGAACACTCTTCCATATCCAAAATCATATCAAGGTCTATAGCTTCGATCAAGTTGCGGAAGGAACTACGTAACATAGTAAGTACTTCGTTTTCAAAAACATTGGCAGTCATAGTGGATACACAAAAGTGGGAACGAACCACTTGAAGAATTATTCCCCTCAAAAGAGAATGTGTGCTTTTATTGTTGTTCAAAAGAAGATTTTATCCATTGTCTCAAAAGTTGTCTATAGTCATCTTTGGTTTTCACTTTATCTGATGTGGTATGTACTTGTTGTTCTTCTACAACATCCACAAGGGAGTCTATTTGGGCGTCCAAGTTGTGCTTCCATTCATTCAGTCGTCTTTGGTTCTCATCACGCTGTTGTTGTACTTTTCCTATTTCTTCTTGAGCACGTGTTTGGAAATATTTCAACTCCTTGTAAAGTTCCCAGTTCCTCCAACCCAAGGCAACGGATAACACGGAACAAGATAAGACAGTTACAGTCCAATAAGAGCCTTTGTGAGAATTCATCCAACGTGAAAAGAGTAAACGAATGAATAATAACTGATTTCCTTATTAGAAAAACGTTGAAGTTATCCAACTTACTTCATTCCCATCGACGATTCGGGAAAAATTATCATTTCTGCAGCTTGATTCGTTTAGGAATCATTTCATTCCATTCTTTATCCACAAAGGTTATCCGTTCCGAATCCAATTCCTCATCGTCCATCATAACAATCACTTTTCGTTCAAAACTTGTATTGTCTACATAAGAAATGGATTCTGGTGACAAACCTAACCAAGGACTAGCTCCTTGCTTCTTCATGGCAAATACGGTGTATAAATAGGCAGTATCCCAAAACTCGGGTGATAATCCTATACAACACAAAAGTTGATTTAGTCACGAGGAGAATTCTCTTACCTCCATCTTGAAGTATATTCATACGATGAAATAAAGATATAAAAGGACTACCAGCTGACAAATACATGGTAATAAATTCATGAAAGTTCATAACCAACTGCAACTCTAATCCATATCCTTTGGCAAGTTTTTCAAATACAGGCATAACTACTAAATATTCAGGTATATCCAACACCGAAGACTCCAAATAAAAATGATATCGAATACCAAAAGGTTTCGTAAATGTTTTACTTGAAGAATCATCAAAGACAACACGATAAAACTCGTTACCAAACTCCAAGCCTGAAGAAGCACGCAACTTTCTCACCAAAACATTCGAATCAGGTATCGTACCAATAAAGAAGCCACCAGCTACGAGTCTCTCTGTCACATTTTCCAACAATCTTCTCACTTTCTCTTCACAACTAAAAGCATAATGCATGGAGAATTGACAACTAACTATGTGAAAGTTTCTATCGGGTTCCAAATAACGGCTTAAACGACAAGAAAAACAATCACCACACAAGAACTGAGCAGTAAAAGTGCACTTTTTGAGTTGTTGATAACGCTGTTGGGCAGTTTTCAACGACTCTTTTGAAATATCACATCCCACATATTGAGTGATTTGTTGACTTTGCCACTTTTGTAGGTCTCCTCCTTTTCCACAAGCCAAGTCAAGGACGGAATAACCGGGTCTCGTATGTAATGCAATGAGAACACTTTTTACCCAGTTGTTTAGGTTACGAAGACTTAATATTTTACTTGACTTTCTAGTTGCTCTATCTTCACTAGCAAGTTCATCATAATGTTTAGCAACCACATCTTGAGTTTCCATCCAAAGAAAAAAGTTCAAGATTTATTTTCCATTTGCCATTGTTGACTTGCTTGTATCAAAGCATCTTTGATTTCAAAGACTTTATCCATATCAGTACAAAAATAAACTCGAAAAAGGTTTTCCTATGACATCAACAAAGAGATATGAGATTCCCTTATCTATCCAACGACTCTTATTACCTCCAACATTTGAGCAACCGACATCAAACCAAAGTCTCTACTTAATATCAACACAAGAGGTTTCCAATTGGAGTGACAATATTTGACTGCAAGTATACCAGAACGATAGGCTATTAGAAAAGCTGCTGAACTCTTACTAGTGGAATCTGCTCTTTCTACTACTATTTCTTTCGGTAGATGAGCACTACTGTACAACTTACTCGCAAATCCTTGACAAGATACCCGTTGTAATTGAAGATTACGACATAACTGCACAATTTTAGAGACCAATTGGGTACAACTATCCAAATCTATCAAAAACAAGATGGATATCGAAGGTGGGGTAGAATAGGCAAAGTTGTCGAGTAGCCAGTCCTAAAAAGTTGCTTGAAAATACATGAATAGTTTCAAGTATGCCATACGTTGCTATTCTCATAGGAATCCCGGTTCTTCTGAAAAGGTGCCACCTTCTTGAGTATATAGTCTACGGCTTTGGCAGAGGCGTCGTTTCTTGCTTCTTTCTTATTCGTTCCTTTTCCTTGAAAGGGTCCCATGTTTGCCCTCACTTTTGGTTTGTTTTGAAAACTTGGATATCATTTTCTCTTACTTACCACAACAAAGTACAAGTCCACGATAAAGCGGTAGTTGTCCTTTCAAAAGTTTCCTTAGGTTTCGCTCCCAATAACAAACATATTTCATTTAACAACACACTATCTGCTTTATTAGGTGACTTTTCAAAAGAAGCTGGAACCAGTTCAAAGTTGAAAGACGTCAACTGCTCACGGTTGCTTTTGCTCATGAATGCCATTTCGTGTGTGTGTTGCCCTTTTTTTGCTTTTTGTATGGGTTTTTAAAGGACTAAACTGGAAGTGTAGTAGAATATCCTAATCGATCCAACAACTATACACTATATGTAATTCCATAACATAACAATCTATTTTCACAACAACTTGCCTGTTTCACACCGGGTAAATAGAATACTTTTCCAATAAACGGAGTTTGTCTAGCAACCAACAAGAGCATGGGAATGAAATCACTACAATAACAACAACCCAGTTGGAAAAAGTCATACTTTGGTTGTACTTACCCAAACAAATTGATCATACCAAAGCCTTCTACTAAGAAACCTACGATGGGCCAACGTAGAAGAATCAAACATAAACCAACAAAAAAGAAAAATGCGGCTCTTCGTCTTCTATAAAAGAAGAACTGGAAAGAGCGTTTGTAACCAATGACAAGGACGATGCCACTCACTAACAGTAACTAGAACAAGAACTGAACTTGACGACAAGAACTAACAAAAGTGCCTACATTCCCGAGTGAAACCAACTTGCTATCGAACAATATTGCACCCAAGGAAATAAAAATAAACCCAAAAAGTGTCAACCCTATTCCGATTTCTTTACAAAAAGAGATATTCAGCTCTTACTTAAAGTGGTAGTGTTTGCATACTTCTGGAGTCGTCCATATCTTACCAAAAAACTAGAAGAATGCAACTCATTATCAAGACAAATGATACTTGTTAGGATGAAAAGGACTTGGTATGATTTATTCCAACTTGCAAGACAAGTAACTTTCAAGTTTCAACCACGGAATAGAGTATGGCGCCATTTCTCACAAACTGCCAAAGAAAACTTATCCATAAATCTACCTCCACACATCAAGATCAAGATGCCAGCACTTTCCCCGACTATGAAAGCAGGAAATATTATAGAGTGGAAAAAGAAAGTTGGAGATTCAGTAGCTCCTGGCGACGTACTTGCCGATATTGAAACAGACAAGGCAACGATGGAGTTTGAGTCCCAGGTAGGTAACCTGATGATTGACTTGTGTATAACAGCAGTCGACCACTTTGGATAGGAAGAAGGTTATTTAGCAAAGATATTGGTACCTTCAGGTACGCAAGATGTTCCTGTCGGAAAGTTGGTGGCCATACTAGCGGAAGATAAGGCGGATGTTGGCTCATTGGAGCAATTTTCTAGCACGGAATCTTTTCGTTCTAGTGAAACGGAACACTCTACCAAAGCAAAGTCGATAAAGTCTACAAGTTCAGTAGAAAAAAAATTATTTGGACCTGCAGTTCGTCGTATGATTGAAGAGTATCACATATCAGACTTGTCACGATTGACGAGTTCAGGAGCACACGGACGTATCTTGAAGGATGATGTCGTCGAGTATTTGAACAACACTGGGAAAGAAACTAGAAAGCAACGACAAGAACAGCAACCCAAAAAGCCAGATTCCAAGAAGGAATCTATAGTTACCAAACAAGAGGATATCACAAGTCGTACCCAATATGAAGATATTCCATTGAATAACATGCGCAAAGTGATTGCCCGCAGACTAACAGAGTCCAAGACTCAAGTACCTCATGAATATTGCCAAATCGATTGTCAACTAGACAAGTTATTGGAGTTGCGAAATATTTGGAAGACTGAGAAGAATATTTCTGTTTTAGTAAACGATTTTATCATTCGAGCTACGGCCATTGCACTTCGAAAAGTACCCGCATTGAATGTCATTTGGGATGAATCGAGCCAAAGTGGCAAACAAATGGATCGAATTGATATTTCTATGGCAGTTAGTATCGAGAATGGTTTGATAACACCCATTGTCATGGTAAGTTATCGATGATGGAATATGCCAAGTAATCAATTTCATTGTGATGAAATATATGAAATAGGAAGCGGATAAGAAAGGTTTACTAGAAATTTCGAACGTTGCCAAGGACCTCATTATGAAAGCACGACAAGGCAAGTTAAAGCCTGAAGAGTTCCAGGGTGGTACCTTTAGTATTAGCAATTTGGGAATGTTTGATATAGACCAATTCACTGCGGTTATCAATATTCCTCAAGCTTGTATATTAGCTATTGGAACGGGAGGTAAGCATAACTTTTTTGTGATATGAATATATTGGTCTTATACAATCATTTAGAGAAACAAGTGCTTGTCGAGAACAATCAGCCTGTAGTTCATACTGTTATGAAAGCAAGTCTATCTTATGATGCTAGAATAGTTCAAGAAAAGGATGCCATTCACTTCTTAAGAGAATTTTCTGATATTATATCTTCTCCTCAAGAAAACATGTTATTATAAACTCGGCAATAAGACATTTTGTTTGCTGATATGATTCATTCCCGAAACAACAGTCTTAATAGGATTGTGTGGTATTCATTTTGCTAGCTATAGAGAATCCATTTTTGATTAGTAAAATATTTCTCCTGTTCACAACATTTCAGAATTTCCGTTTTGTATACACCGACGGTTGATTGTGAGATGCAAGAGGTAAGTTTATGGATCTTTCAAGTTGTTGTTGTCGTTGTAGAGAAGAGGATGATACAAACTGGACTAGAGTTTCTGATATTTATTTGAAGAAACTTCCTTGGCTGTCTGAGTCATTATGAAGGACAGAAAGTGAGCAATGGTTACAAGACAGACACTGATGGAATTCGCTTTCTAGGGTTTATTCAACCACTTTTGGAAAACTGTCCAAGACTATGTCCCTTATGAAAAGAGTAATGTTCCTTGGTGGGCAGGTTGCTCGATGGTTGGTGAATGGTGGTTTGTTGAGCTTAGTTTTTGTTGATTTGGCTTTTTCTAGGTGGTCACTGGAGGACTTGTGGTGTACGCCGCCAAGTCAGTCTTTCAATTGTATTGGACAAGGAAGAGGTAATTATCTATTTTCAATATATATATATATATATATATATTATACTTTTTATATTCGATACTGATCGGAGTTGTCTTAGGTTGAGACCACTCCATGGATCACAAAAGTAAGCAAGTTATTTTTGTATATATTATCTTCGATTGTAATCTTCCTAGTCTTCCTGGTCCTTCACCTTGGCCTATTGTGGGAAACTGTATTCCCTTATCTTCGAATTTGTATCAAACACTGTATCAATATGTGGAACAGCCCATCAGTCTCTATTTCATTGCGTCCACACCTTTTGTGGTCGTGACAGATGAAGCTGCTGTTCGGTAAGTTCAATTGCTTTGGGAAAGATGAGATGATGAATGAGCTTCTTATCTAGCAAGGTTTTAGGTAGCGGTATGTATCAAAAACCAAAATATTTTGGTTACCGTTCCAGTACCATTCGATATTCTGTCGAAATGAATCAGAAACTGATACTTACAAATGAACAAATGAGACAACAACAAGCGGACAGTTCAAGAAAGGCATTAAAAGTCATGATTGATTCCAAGGTTTCAGATATAATTGATGGAATGATTGAAGCGGCGGAAGCTGTTGTTCATGCAGTTGATGGAAGAGAACAAGTCGAAAACATTCGACGAAAAGTGATCGAATTGAATTTAAATGTTTTATTTGGATATAAGAATGACAAAGATGTGGGTTCCCTATCTCATATCATCTTTGAAGCTGGAAAAGAATTTATTTTAAGGACAGTCAATCCTTTTCGTATTGGGTGGAGATGGATGGCCAATTTTCGATTTTTTCAATGTAAGTGAATGTCTATGAATGTGATAATAATTCTGTATAAGATAATTGGCTTGAAATTAGATGTCTTTTCGTTGATTACGATTGGCAGAAGAGTTTGTCAACATATGGATAGTCAACCAGCTACATGGGTTCATGGTTGGGTAGGTAAAGTAGGAAAAATTGGCAAACTAGGAAAAGTTGTTGGTTTAATAATGGCATCGAGTCAAACCGTGCCTACAACATGTTTATGGTTACTTTTCTTGCTTTCGAAATATCCACAAGTAGTTGAAAAGATAAGAGAGGAAACATCTCGTGTTTTACATTCCACAAAGAAACAAAGTATGGAGGAGTTTACTGTGGATGACTTGAACGAGTTGGCATATGTGGATTGCGTAGTGAAAGAATGTTTGCGCTTGTATCCTCCTTTTCCTTTGTTACAAAGAGAGCCCGAGGTAAGATAATATCTTTAGTGTTTGCCAGTAGAAGAAAGTAATGTTGTGTTTACTAGATGGATGATATTCTAGAAAATGTAAAGATTCCTGCAAGGACTCCAGTTTATATTGTTCCTTGGTTACTTCATCATCATCCAAAATATTGGAAACAGCCGGAAGATTTTATACCCGACAGATTCATGTACAATGCTAGTCATGGAGATGCACCGTCGGACTTTGTATATATTCCTTTCGGTAGAGGTAATAAGTAGTTTCGTATTTTCTCATCAGAAGTTTTCAAAAACATATCAAGGTTCAAGAATGTGTGCTGGTTATCATTTGGCGCTGTTGGAACTGAAAATTTTGACAATATATGTTTGCCAATATTATGATTGGAAATGTTCATTTCCTCAAGGAAAAGAACCAGTAAGCAAAAAATATCCAATAGAAACTATCACTCACTCATCTTGCAACCGTTTCTTCTTTATTATGCAATTGTTGTCGATAGGCAATGTTTCCTAGTATCTCAATGACACCTGAGAACATTGAAATATATTTTAGCATTAGGAAGTAATCATAAAATGCTCAATCTCCTTCTTCTTCTTCTTCTTCTTCTTCTTCTTCTTCAGCGCTTTCGGCAGATTCTGACTTATCCTGTGTAGAACCCGCTTCACCCTCGTCATCACTTTCTTCAATCTTTTTGTTCGGATCAAAATCTTCGTCTTCTTCTTCTTCTTCTTGTTCATCATCTTCATCGTCCAAATTGTCATCTTGTTGCTCAGCTGGTGTTCGTTGTCTCTTGAAAGCTTCCTTAATAGTGGACATGGGTAGCCTCTTCTCCTCCAGAAAAGTATATATATTATCGAATTCAGGACGGTCAATATTACTAAAAAGTAAACTATGACCACTCGACAAAGTTATTTGCAGGTCAAATCTCCGTTCCAAGTCCATTCTTTTGAATTCTATCATTTCAACGTCTTCAAAACGAATGTAAGTGGGTGGCTTGTTCACAAAAAACATACAGTTTTCCAAGAAAAACAAATAACCATCATTGGCTCCAAGCGCAGTACGTACAGCACTCTGTCCACGATGACTCTTAAAACTGATGGGAGAATGTAAAGGCTTCTTAGTAAGTTCTCTCAAAATCTTCGAGAATACTTCCCAAGTAGCTCCACCAGAGACTCCAACCAAATTGGGATACCGAGATTTCAGTTCATTTTCTGTCAGTGCAAATTCTGCATCAACTTCTTCATCTTTCTGAAACTGAAATACCAAATGTGGATACAAAGTATTACCTTGTCGAACTGGTGGATCCAAACTGACAACAAAAGTAATGTGAGCTTCATCTGGCTTCGGAAGTAGAAACATTCTCGTGACCGCAGTGTAAAGTATTTTGTAATCAAAGGACTTGCCGTGTAACTTGAGATGATTTGGATATAAATCTACCTCATACCGTCCACGGGGAACTAGTAGAGGCATATCGACAAAATTAATGAGCGATTCACCAGTAAACGAAGATTCTGCACTTTTGAGAATGCCCTTATACAAATCTGCTGCATGACTCTCGTTGTGAACATATAGGCGAAGCTCAACCAGGCACTCGTCTGTTTTAGCTGCAGTATCGTCCACGTGAAATTCCAAGGCCACTTCGGAAGAAGACGGCATTTGGACTTGGGAGACTTCTTCTAGTGGAACATCAAAGGCATCTACACCTTCTGCGGAATGAAATATAAGAGCTCTGCCCCTCAACTCTGCATCACCCCAGTTCCAACCTTTAATGGGTTGAGGAGCCCTTTTCACTTCCAAACTCAGCTTTTCTTTGCAGCTCTCATTGACCACTTCGAAATCTTGTTCACGAAAACTACACAAGGTATGAGCAAACCAACTTGTTGGTGGCTAACTTCTTACCCTTCAAAACGGTTGGTATTGTCACCCCTGAGAACACAGACAAGTTGCATGCCTCTAGCTCCTCTTATCCATCGAAGACTTAACAAGTTTTCTTTATCAATATCGACAGTTCTAGCAGTTTCTTTAGCTCGCCAACTAATTCCTCCAGAGTGAACACGAAGTGTCCCTGTTCCTGAACTGGCGCCAGTACCCGCTAGTGAAACTCCACCATACTGTGAAAGTGCTTCTTGACGGCTTGTACTAGTTTCTGTCATCTTTGGGGACTGCTGGACGAGTTTGCTACACAAAGGAACTTACGATGTCTCAAAGTTCCAACAATGCTTGAAAATGAAATTTGGCGCTCTTTGGGTTATTTCTCAAAAAACGAGTGACTATGATACAACATGACTGTTCCCTTTTATAAGCTGTAACAAAGAATCCTCAACATCTTCTTTGGAATGACAAAAAGTAGAACTATCTTTCCTATCCTCGCTTTGGAGGTCCTTTTTTGGTTCTTCTCTTGAAGTTGATGGATAGTAAGGAGTTGATGATAAAACGGAGTCATCTGACACTATCTTTCTTTCATAGAGACTATTTACACTTATTTTGTCACGATGTGATGTTGTCTTTGTACTTTCAGAAGCAGAGGAAACACCAGAACTGAAATAGTCTTGGGAACAGTGAGGAAGGTAACCACGCAACGTGTTGTAAATATTTCCACCGTGTACACAGACATCTAAGTTCCATTCTGGCTTTCTTAGTAGTATCAAATGCAGAGCAAGTTCTCCTCGATAACCTAAACTACAAGCAGCGTTTACCAGAGATTCGGCTATACTCTGTATAGGAACATTTTTGCGCAACAACCTATTTATCATTCTCATAATACCTTCCAAAGTCAGATATTGTAAAAGGCTATCACTTGCAACCACAACATACTCATCTTGAGGTTGCAAGTTAATCCTGGTTACTTGTATCTGATGAGTCTTTGCTAATGACCAGTTATTTTTAAAGTATTCGTTGGGTGGCAGTAATCTAGCTTTTTGTCCGAAATGAACAACGATGATGGTGATAGCGTTCCAATAAGCTACGTAGAGTTGGTTGTCGTCGAAAGCGAGAATAACTCCTTTATCATTCATGGGAGTTGATACAAGAGACGGTGGCCTTGCTTGTCTATTTGCAATGGTAAGGCGCTCTTTTACAGAACGGCAAGTGTTGAACATTTCTTGAAGGATCCTATAAATTGGTTTGGATTCATTCCCAATACACAACATATTCTTACGTATTGAACGATTTCCTCGTGGCAAAGGTTTTTTCCAGCAGCTTTTCAACAAAGTTTGGATCCTAAATAAAATGAGCTGTATTTGAAGTTTCTAGGTGAATGCGATAGATAGTGTTACCATATCATTATACAACGCTAAGTTTGGCATGATTGCAAATACTCTTATTTCCTTGTTATCATCCAGAACAAATGTTTTTACTATTTGCCTGATAGTATATTTTTGTTGCAAAGAGGCCTTTTGAAAATAACCAGTTTGTACTATGGAACCGTTTTTCCATTCTCCTGTTCCAAAAGTGGAAGTTGGTATATCTCGTTGCATAGAAGCAATTTGTTATGTAACTTGGTTTAATTTTGCACACATGTATCTTTTCAAGATGTTATTGAGAGAAGCGACTTTTTCTTTTGCAACAGGTGAGTGTCGTTTCGGTCAGATGATCGATTAACGGAAATCATTTCAGTTACAAGGAGGGGGGAGGAGGAGGATACAACTTCATGAAGCAATCTCCCATCTCGTTTATTTCATGTAAGATAGCTTGCCTTGTATATATATATATACATGGAGCAAGCTTGATTATCCATACTTAAAGTATCGAAGTAGATTGGAGTTAAATTTGAGAGAGAGTTTTTACTTCTATGCAACATTTCAGTAGAACTAGGAAGGGTTAGAGCAATGACATTTTGCGGTTATACTTTACATTGATATTCAACGGAACTGTAGGCGAAAATTTTGAAACTTGAAAACTAAGGCTCTTATTCTCGCGTTTCTATTTTGTGGATAACGCTTGCTTTAAAAACTGTGAAATATACGAAGCCTTAGCCACCCTATTTTTTAATGTTTTTTATAAGGATAAAACGACACTTTCAAACAACAAAAATGCACATCCATCATGAGAAGAAGAATACAACAGTCCGTCCTCCTCTCTTCTCATCAACTCCGTCGACGTCCTCTTTTTGCATTTCAATAGGAAAGCATTGCCGGAAATTCACCGTGTTTCTGGCTAAGAGTGTTCTGAGGAACTGCATAAAACGATACCGGTTGGAGGACCCTTTGTGATATCTTTACAAGTGGGGACAACCAAACAATATGGCAGATACTGAATTATTGCAAGCGATTCAAGAAGTTTTAAAAAAGGCCCTTATTTTTGATGGCGTTACTAAAGGGATCCGCGAATCAGTCCGTTGCATTGAAGCTGGTCAAGTAAGTAATCCTTTTTTTCCCGAAAATACTCATCTTTTTTGGCGTTATAGGCACAGTTGGTTATTCTTGCGGAAGACTGTGATCAACCTGGGATTCCCAGTTTAGTAGAGGCTCTGTGTGCCGAACAAAGTGTCAACTTGGTCAAAGTACCAGAGAGGAAACAACTTGGAGAATGGGCAGGGTTGTGCAAGATCGATCAGGAAGGAAAAGCTACCAAAGTGGTAGCTTGTTCTTGTGTGGTAGTAAGAGACTTTGGTGAGCAATCGGAAGGTCTCAACTATCTTTTAGAGTACCTTAAAGAAACTGTCGCTGCTTCAGAGTAAAATTTGTCCTTTTGTTTTCAATAAATCGACTCTTATGAAAAAGACTCTAGTGACTCTTAAAGAATGATGGATAGAACGTAGTAATTTCCACTTGGTGTGAAAAGAAATGAGTCACGACAACAGCACTAATGAAGAAGTCATAAGGCTCCTACCAGAATTAGAAAACGATAATGATGACAAACAAGTCTCTTCCGAATATGGAAAGATAGAAAAGTGGATGCAGCAGTTATCGACGCCGTGGAGTCAAAAGTTGCTGGAACAAGACAACGATGAGTTGATATTGTCAACCCATCGTTCAGAGAAGCCCATCGTACCCTTTACCATACGAAACGAGCGACTAGACTCTCTTATAGATATTAACTGGGCAACTTTTAACCAAGAGCAACAAAGAGAGATGAAGAAAAAGAGAGAAACGTTGGGAAGAGACTGGTTCAATATGCCGGCCATCCCATCGAACGATATTGAAACACAAAAGGCAGTCAAGTTGTTGCATTTACGTAGATTTATTTATCCGAATAGATTCTACAAGTCTTTAGGCACGGAGAAGTCATCTCATAGGTTTTATCAGGTGCGTTGTGAAGACAATTGAAAAAAAAGATTAAGTTGACAGTTTATTTTCAGGTCGGCACTGTTCAAGATCAACCTGAAGAATTTTTTTCAAATAGACTGCCGAGAAAGGAAAGAAAGAACACATTTGTGGAAGAATTCTTGTCAGATCCTGATCTAAGAACGAGGACCAAAGAAAGATTTAAAAAGATTCAAACAGAGAAACAGAAACTTGTGAACCCTAAGAAATGGAAGAAGAGAATCCAACGAACACTGCCAAAATGGAAAAGAAAGTGATCCACTTATTCCAAAAATATCAAAAGACATTAATATCTTAAATATTAAAATTCATACATCATCCAAATCTTTGAATTTTTCAGAATCCTCGTTTGTATTCTCGCCTATCGACTCAAAAATTCCTGTCTCAGAAATCAAGTCGTCAAAAGAGTTCGTTATACGATAATATGAAGTTGTGGTGTCATTTTCAATAATTGCAAAAATACAAGCCGTCATTTTATGTCCAAATTTCTCCTTCATTCCTTCGTGGACTAGAACATTCATTCTAAAATTTCATTCATTAAAAAGTGAAAACATTCAAAACTTGACAGCTTACATTGCTGGACTTAGCATGGAATCTGTAGGAACTGGGATAACCGAGTATAAACATGGCGTCTGACTATGAAACAAATTTGGAGAGCCAACGATTACATATCGTTGCAGTTTAACTAATGGAACAACTCGAATAAAGGACCATTTTCGAACAAGATAGAGATCCTTAGCAACTTGGAAAGCTGCAACAGTGTAATCTGGATATAAATATGGCTGCAACTGTCTACAAAATTCCTCATACTGCTCAACCAGGTCACAAAAAGGTAGAGCTCTATCTAATCTACCAACGTCCCCAGACAGTTCATCAACTGTAGCTCTTGTCTCCGCACCAAAAACAGAAAAACCAGTGATACAATTTGTTGATGAGGATTTGGAAGTTGAATCTACTTGTTGATTACTCTTCTCTTCGAGTACGGGTTCAAGTTCTTCCAAAATTGACGATTTGGTCGTCTGTAACTTATCCACAAGTTCTTCATCCACCTTTTGACCACTAAACTGACCTTGTACTGGTTTTTTCACGCGTTTTCTCTTTGATGGACTGGGCGAAACTGAATAACTAAAACGTTCCAAGTTATCTCCATATTTCCTTCTTAAGCGTTCACTTCGTCTTCTGCTGGTTGAAGCAGAGTAGCTTGAGTTCGAAGCACCATCGCTCTCGTTATCGCTATGTCTTGCCATCTGTACTACGAGTTATACTCTTAATCTAAAAGCTCTAACAGGTGAATGACTTCTTCATGCAAAGCACCGTCTACCAATGAAATAAGTATTTTCAAAATGTCCGACGAAGAACTGAGCAATTTCGATAAATTATTTTGTTGTCCAGCTTGTACAAGAATTGCCTCAATCAAACGCAAAACCCCGCGACGATAAGACAGAGAGTTGTTGGTTTCTAACCAAGCTACTAACAAGCTGTGGCAAGTTTGAGTATTTTCAAGCCAAAATGATAAAAGAGGAGATCTCAGTTGATATAAGAAATCTTCCACTTTCCAATATTTTCTAGAATTGCAAAAGTTTTGTAAGGTCTCCGCCAGAGAGGATAAATGTAGGCGTTTCAGAATATAGCAAAGATGCACGCAGGTTATTCTAAAGTAAGCTATCGAATTATTTTGATGTTCTACTCGAATCACCGGCAAATCAGTGTCGGAAATCGTTTGACGATAGAGCTGGAGAACTTGGTCTTCTGTTTTTTGATGGTCGTTTTGAGAAACCAGCAAAGTCGTTAGAAAAATAAAACTTGTTACAATTACTGGCACAAGACAGTTTTTCTGTTTCGATGTCTCCGGGCGCCAAGGTAAGCGTAGTAGCAAGGTGAGATAAATGAAGATCACGTGTTCAGATTTCTGCAACTGTGTTGTGGATATCGCCAACTTGCAGATTTCAAGAATGGTTGGAGAATTGTGCAGTCCACTATAAAACTCTGTTTCTACGAGTTGATTAAAGATACCTTCACCAACTGAGTTTCCTGTAGAATATAGCTTCATAAATAAATACGCTGCATGAAGTCTTATCCAAGGTTCATTAGAGCAACTCAACTCAAATGCAAACGAAAGCATTGGCGGAACGGTAACCAAATTCTCCTTCTCAACTTTTGTTGCCAACAGGTACAATATTTGTAATAAATGAGAGATTCTGTAACGATCAGGATTATTAGAAAAGAATTCGTTCTTTGCGCATGACAACAAAGTGTCAACAGAATCCTTGTCCAAACAAGGACCCAGCAGACGATATAATCTTAGCGATACAACTCCTAATGTTTGGCCAAGGCGATATTTGATCAATGCTAAACAATGACGACTCCACAAGGTTCGAAGTTGAGGTTCACCATAGGAGGACAGTCCAATGAGTTTTTCTAAGAAACTGAACAAGTGTAAATCTCCATCTCTTGGACTCAACATCTCTTCTGGAGAGCAAGCAATATCTTGAGGATTCCACTGCATGGAAAGCTGTTGCATATCTGCAGCAATTTGTGCTGATAACTGAACACACTGTCTCCATATATCTTGTCTACAACAACGCTCGATATGGGGAAGCAAGAAGCGAGACAAAACATTTGCTAGCAGCAGTCTTCCATGCTTCTGTTGGGAAATATTATTCGACGTTTGTGTAAAAATAGATAAATGAAAGATGATTGGAAGGAATGCCCGAATGTCTTCGCTATTTCTCTGAATCGTTTCCGATAACAGAACAACCACAATTGGAATGTCGTCGAATTGTCTATTACGCTCGCATTCTGGAACCGCTTCTTTACAAGAATTCATTAGATCTTCGATGACGTGACTAGGGATAACATACGATAATATGTTCAATAAAAAGAAGCCAACACGATTTTCACTCAACTTTACTGCGGCCCTCTTTATCAACTCTAGTATTTCGTTGTTTCTTTTGTTGGATTGTTTCAATTTTTGGCGAGTCGCAATAAAAAGCACATTCAAGGCTCTTTGTAAGTTGTCCTTACGATAACCCAATGCATGCCACAGAGCATCAAACGCCTTCAAAATAAGCTTGCTATCACGAAATGTTTCATATGTGGTTTCTTCTAGAGAAAGCAGTTCTTCTATTGTACATTCTGCGATATCTCCTCTTTCAAGCCATGGCTCTAAAAAGGAAAGTATCCGAGAATGATCATATTCAGCGTTGTCCTTGATGCTTTGTTCGATCTTTGCGAAGACAGAGCTGACAATATTACTTGCCACTTCCGCACACAATATAGCACTCCTCTTCGATATATCGTTGATAAAATTCTCGTCCTGACATAGACTAGGAAAATACTCATGGAACTCTAGTGAGAATTCATATGTAAAATTTTTCGTGGCAACAGAGACAAGAGATACAAGGGACTTCAATGCCAGTGGAAAGAGACACTCTCTATCCCATCCCATTACAAAATAAACAAGAGAAAAAAGCTCTATGCAGAGTTTGTCACTTCTTAGGGACACTTCTTCTCTATCATAATGACGGTGAATGTACTCAAGTAGTAAAAGAACAGCATGATATGCAACGACCTCATTTGAATGGTTGGATGGTAAAACGCTAAGTTCCATCAGGATTCTTAACGACCGATTATCAAAACTCAGTATCTGTACGATAGCAGGTTTCAGCATGGAATAGTCACACTGCAGTTTTTCCAATCTATTTGAGTCAAAAATCTTAAGCTCCTCGAGTACATTACTCAATAAGGAATCCAAATGAAAGCTTACAGAATGAAATACTTCCTTCGAAATGCCAAATGACTCAGCATATCCCAACAAGACCGTGACACAGATGAGAGAAAGCTTTCTGATGCGGTCTTGTAGGTCTTCTACTGTAAAAGACTCTTCACGACTGGACCGATCATGAAAACTTGTACGAAAAATAGAAGAGCCACGTGATGCAGAACTATACTTTCGTGCATTCGACGATGCAATCCACCGTTGCATCAGGAGCAGAGCATCCTTCCAAATTCCTTTAAAATGGACAGAAAAACTGGATATGGCAATAAACGCAGACAACGCCTTCAACAAGCATAGACAAAAAGTTTCTCGCAAAGCCATGAGATCGAAAGGATTTTGAGGATTTTCCACAGATTGACCCATAATTTGCAACATTTTAGAGAAAAATCGAGAATAAAGCTCCAGTACTCCATTATTCATGCAACACTTGTCTGTTTCATTCAAGGTACTCAACAATGCCAGCAATATTTTTGTATAATAAATACGATAATGATCTTTCTGACGCTTTGATCGTCCCTTTGTTTGTTGTACATGAGGAGAGGAAAATGTTAATTCTTCTGCCTCCAACGCAATGCATAGAGACAAGTCGGATGGGACATTCTTCAAAGCTTCCAAAAGACGAGTAGAATAAATCGTACAAAGAGGACTCTTTGTTCCATCGATTCCAAGGAGACTTGGAGAAAGCACTGATTGAAAAATCTTTCGAAGTTGAGAACGACTCTCCCCCGTGATCCCTGAGGACGCTAGCTTACACTGTTCGTGGATGGAACAAAGAATATAAAAGAACAACGAAAAATACAACTCGATGGATTCCAAGAATGAAATGTTAACTATTTGAAATCCGGGAAATCGATCATGCAGCTTCACATTGCTTTGAAAGGATTGTTCAAAATTTCCATTTAAATACAGCAGCATTTGCTCAGCATTCACAATTCCAGCTTTTGAATTTTCTGGCGACTGCCGGACAGTGAACGAAAGAAATGAACGCCACGTACATAGAAATCGAGAAAAGCGTGCTGTAGAGGAGAACTCATAAGATAATTCGTCATTTGTTCCTCTTGAAGTACTTCTTGGTTTCAATTCTTCCAAGTGCATTTCAACAAGTTTATCTTCAGCAGAGAAAGCTTCTAGCTCTGAACATGTTCTTCCAAACATCAACGTTTGAATCAAAGTTAAAGAATCTCGCAAGTTTCTCCTCAAATCTACTGAAGGAAGAAAATAAAGTAAGACAGAAGTCTCTTGAAATCGAAGTAATAAAGTTCTTAGATTGCCTCCTATAGACTTCTCTACCAATTTGCTAGATTCTGTGCGATTCTGCAAAGTTAATACTTGGTTGAAAACTTGTATGACTCGACCCACATGAGAATATGATAGATCCAGAGGATTGCTCTTTCTAAAATTAAATTTCAATGATATTTGATACAAGACAGATTCCTCAGCATCTTCCGCTTGATTGCACATGTCTAACAGCAGTGATTCAGCCTCATGTATAAAGCAACAATCAGTTTGACATGCCATATCGGTAACAGGAGCATATAAAGACTGCATTTCTTTCTCACATATTGAACTCAACAAGCAATGAACTCCCTTCAATTGCAATTTCAAAAGACAATGAACATCGGACGGATCCAATGTACTTAGTACTTGTGACTTTGTTCGATCTAAATATGCATACGTCGCCCTCAGAATCTTGCATGACATTTGAGCAAGTTTTAATTTATTCTCAGGACTCCAGTCTACTGCACTCTGACTTTTATCAAACATCCCATCATCACAAAGATCTTCATCTCTTAACAGCAATTCGTCTTTCAGTGAAAACGCTGCAACTTGATAGAAAACATATGAGACTTCTGAGAGCGAGAAGAGCTTGTTGTTTTGCCACCATTCTTCAAGAAGATTTATCCAGATAAGAGGAGAAAAGTGTATAACAATCATCACACATTTTGCTAGAATATCATACAAGTCTTTGCAGGCTTGGGAAAACATGCGATCAGGTGACAAAAGTTTTTTCAATATTTGTTCAAGTTGTTCAGTTAGAATCGAAGATGTGTCTTTCGTTGTGATATACATTTTCAGAGCATGACTCAGAGCCTTCGCAGTTGCAATCCTTAGTTGTAACTCTTTTGAATCTTCATATTGCTTGCAGCACCGCATGATAAATGGCCACAATTCCTTCTTTAAGACGTCCACATGTTTTGCTTTTAGCAGCAAGGCACAAACAGGAAAGCCTTTAGCCATGTGTTTCGGTTTCGTCAACCATTTTTGAAGCAAACTATAAAGGTCATCGATCGTTTTGTACCATTTTGCCATTGAAGTTGACTCGCAGAGTTCGAATTGTACATTTTGCAGCAACAGAACAGAAATGTTGTCCGCTATCATATGTTTGATTGCAGTAGAGCGAGTTCCTGTCAGCAATGAACGATAGAATTCTAGAAGCTGAGTAGAACTCTTGATGAAACTCGAGTCCAATAATGATATTCTCAAACCTTTCAAAATACTCAAATAGAACAAGTTCTCATTTTCGGAATCACGAAGACTAAAGAGAGACGATAGAGAAGTACTACCGGCAGAATTTAACATTTTTCCTTGGAATCTGATCAATATTTCATGTAAGGAAAACATAGATAAAGAACCGAGGAAGTCAGAACAAACCATAAGGACAAAGCCAATCTGAGGGCTACACTCATTGTCCCAATTCTTTGCTAAATTTATCAACTCCTCGACAGTGAGAGACAATATATCATCTAGCAGATTCTTGGGAATCTCACATTTCTCAAGAAACATTTTATCCAAAAGCAACTGGAGTGTTCTCAATTGGCACACATACAACAAGATTCCATCACCATCGATAGATATGAGTTCTTCAAGGAAAAACTTTGAATTGTTGGAGTTTGATTGGAACTCCTTCATCCACTCGATGATCAGACTCACTGCGTAGCTACGACAATGGTGTGAAACTGTAAGTAAACAGTCCATACAACGGAGCAAACGAAAGTCTTTTTCTATGTTTTGTCTGTAGATATTGGCAACCAAATGCCTCTCACCCTTTTTTGCAACTTCTAAAGTCACTTTTTGGAGGTGTTTCACGGCCTGTTGACATAAATGGGCTCTTCTTTCCGCTAGGTTAGGAGTCTCTTCATATGCCACTAAAGATTGAGAAACTGAATTTGTTTTGCTCATGAATGAGCTTCTTTTAGTACTACTTGCTCCATTTCTTCCTACCATAATTCCTTCCAATACTAATCTGTTTGTTTCGTATCTTCCAAAGAGGTAGAGAAAGCAGGAACTCCCAGAAATTGGCTTGCAATGGGTGAAACATTACAAAATGGCGCCAAATTTGGACACATTTTTCTTTCTTGGACACAGTAGAAAATATCCGTTCTTTATTACCAGAATCGAGTCCCAGGAGCTCCTTTAAAAGGGCCCTTTAAGTTCTTTGTTATCCAGCCTCCATAAAAATCACCCTCCTGTGGAATAATTTTCTCATTTCCAACGTATGCTTCGTCAAACTTTGAACCATAAAAGGAAAAATACCCAGAAATAGGCTTATATAGACCCTCCGTTTCTGGATAGCACCAAGCTCCATTTCTTATAACAACTTGTTTAACATGTATATCATAGTAAATTGCCGTTCCTTTGAACTCACAGAAAGTTTTCAAATTCGACTCTCTAAACAGTGAACGATTCACTGACTCGGGAGGAAAATAGTAAGTGGGAGGATGACTTGTTTCCAATATTCTGTACCCATCCTGAGTATCTGCTATAACCTTTCCACGATGAACTACTCTAAGACGTTGTCGCGTTCTTTCCAATCTTGGTGGCCTTGGATAATCCCAGACGCTCTCTTCTTTTAGGTTTTCTGAATTAGACATGTAGACTTTGCGTGATAGTAATTGTTGAACTTTTTGACTGTTATGTTGAGTTTTCAAGAATGGTCCCTTTAAGAGAGTCCTTGAAAGACCGTTTGGAAGTCTCAAAACTAGTGTCTGGTTGACAACACAGAAACTAGAGAAACAACCAATCATTATTCAAACGTTAGGTTTACATTTCGTAAGTCGATTGGAATGGAATGTTATTCTTTCAAAATGTTGTTTGAACTGTGTTTGATGGAAAACACTACTCTATTGCTCACCAGTGTGTGTAGTAAACCCATTCATTCAACAAACCTTAAGACTATCGAATAAGATAAAAAGAAATTCTTTACTGATGAAAGTTCGAACCATCAGTTGTTTATCGATATCGTCTGAGTGACAAGGTATTTCGACGTTTCCAGTTTGCTCTGACACTTGGTCTAACTTTGGCTACGCCAAGTCCCTTACGACGAAGGCCACGGTGGGCTCTTCCTGCTGACGTTAGGCCGCGTCTTTCACGGTGTTTCATGGTTGGTTTGCAAATCCAGTGTATCCTCGGGTCTCTTCGAATAGCTTTGTGATTGGGATCGACAAGGATCACTTCAAAATACTTGTAAATTCCGTCTTGATTGATCCAGTACGAGTTTAAGACTCTCAAGTTACCACATCTTCTTCCAGCGCGCTCTTCAGCCACTGATCTCTTATTTCTCTTAAACTTGAGTTGTGTGATACCTTGATTCTTGGGTTTGCCATACTGGATACCCTTTGGGACCGGTCTCTTTCTACCACCTCTACGAACTCTTACTATGCAAAATGAATATCAAACAGCCGTCACTCAAGGAAAGTAAACATACCTCTATAGATAACGAATCCCTGCTTTGCTTTGTAACCGAGCATCCTGGCTTTATCTGGACGCGTAGGACGAGAGGCTCGGTGAACCGAAGGCAAGTGTCGATATTCCCAAGCTCGTACACGTAACAAAAAGCGCATTACGTCAGATTGCTTCTTTCTCCATAATTCTTGCATATACTTATAGGCTCCCATAGTCTTTTAGCCAAGCACAACGATACTCTCAACAAGATAGCTCGACGGAAATGTAGCCAACCGACCTTTTATGTCTTCGACGCCGTACAATTAAATTGTGTGATTTTTCACAAGCAATACGAAGCCATGGATATGACTTTCTTTTGGTTTATAGAAATCTTCAAAAATGGAATCATTTGGAGCCATATTTTGAGTTTTAAAGTTTGAGCAGGTAAGTTGTAACATTCGTTGCATTCAGTATTGCAGAGCATATTTCCAAGTGAATTCGATGGAAGAGGTTGGTTACTCAAGTGTGGGATGATGGTTGAACACAACTGAAGTCTTCCAGAATGATAGTCTTAAAGAGAAGAACAGCTTGTCTCTTCCAACTGCTAGCTATCCACAGTGCAATCGACAGGGAAAAGATTTCAATTTGCTTTTTATTGGAGCCAAGTCTCTGTTGTAAAAGTAATTGTTGAGCAAACTGTTTATTTGCAGGACGTCGTTCTTGTTTATGCTGTGCACCTACTGAAAGTTGCCTTTTTTTCCAAACGAACAAGTACTCATCACCAAAAAATCACCTTCTTGTTGTCTAAAACATTTCAAATTTTATGTAGTCGTGCTTTGAGAATAAGACTCATAAAGCTTTTCTTTCTTGAACAACTTAACGAAATCTCAAGTAACAAATGAAGCTACACAACAAAGCATCGTTCCAAACAATAGATAATAGAATGTTTGTACCAGTTTTCAACTCTAGTAAATTTTCTCTTTCGGACTATTGTGGGCGTCGTCGATTTATTTTGTTGTGTGGTTGCGTGTATAGGTTTTTGGGTGCTTAGAGAATGGGAAGACGTAAGTAATGCAAACTCTAGAAAAACTATCTCTTATGACAGCAACGAAGGTCCTGCAAGGTGTTATCGTTATATTAAAAACAAACCTTATCCCAAGTCTCGTTTCTGTCGTGGTGTTCCAGGTGAGTGACTTTTTTGCGTTTACTTGGTGCTCTTAGTTTACTCTTTCTTTTGAAAAGACCCCAAAATTCGAATATACGACTTGGGTAAGAAAAAAGCAGCGGTTGAGGAATTCCCTCTCTGCGTGCATCTAGTTTCCGATGAAAATCAGCAGATATCTTCGGAAGCCCTGGAAGCTGCCCGAGTGGCTTGCAACAAGTACTTGACAAAGCATGGCATGGAACAGGATACTTTCCACATAAGCATGTTGGAGCACGATCCTTTCCATGTCATTCGCATTAACAAAATGTTGTCGTGTGCCGGAGCTGACAGGTTACAAACTGGTATGCGTGGTGCGTTTGGAAAGCCCCAAGGAACTGTAGCCCGTGTTTACATTGGTCAGATTCTCATCAGCGTAAGGGCAAAGGACCAGCACGAAGCAGTTATTAGGGAAGCTCTTAATCGTGCCAGGTACAAGTTCCCCGGAAGACAAAAGATTATGGTTTCAAGGAACTGGGGATTCACACATTTTACTCGCGAAGAATATCAAAGGCTTCGTGATGAAGGGAAACTTATTTACTCTGGTTCTCATTGTCAGTTGATTCGAAACCGTGGTTCTTTAGAAATTGCTGCATAATAAACACAATATGAAACTCTTGTTTGTTGACTAGAGAGGAGGACTCTTTCAAATTTCAACTTTTTAAAAGACTTATTGTTGACCCTTAAAACAGTTCTATTTGACTTGAGTATCATATGTATTGAATTTGATGTAGTTGAGAGCTGTTAAATTTTAGTGCCTTTTCCTTCATAGAAGAAGAAATTTTCGTAATCCATTCTCGAGTCATTATGTCACAGGAAACCTTAAGCCAAGAAGATATGGACAAGATACTAGAAAGAGAAATCTCTCAAGTAACTGCAAAACTAGTGGATATGGATCAGAAAATTCACATTCTAGCTGAACAGTTGGCTGCCAAGGAAGAAAGGCAAAGGACCATCTTTGACTTGTTAACGACACAAGTGTGGGATGTGGAAACGGAGTCGACAGATTTTGAACTTTCTTGGAAAACTTTCCATATCGAGGATATTTGTAACAATCTGAGTTCGTTTCACTTACAATCTTGTCGCTTGGAAGAAACTCAACAGTTGTTGGTAAACTTTTTTGTCGTCATTGAAACAAACTGACATCTTCTTATGCACAGGCTGAAAACAGCAATGAAGACCCGCGAAGTGTTATCGCAATTGAGGAGTTGTTTTTCTAGAGGCCACTTGAAGGAAGCTGTAGACCATGCGAGTGAATTGCGAAGATTGAGTTGTGAAAATTCAGCACAAATGGAGTTTTTGGAAAAAATTCTTGAGGAACAACCTGTTGTGGATGAGGAGCTGCATTCCTTAAAGAATTCTTTGCGACAGTATATCAAAGACTCTACTTCTAAAGGTTATGATGCGGTATCCCAAGTATATGAGCACTGTGTCGATCTATTTCGAGTTGGTGAGGAAGAAGAAGCCTTTGAGCTCTATTTGTCATTTCTTTTGAATATTATTCAAAAGGAGTTGAGTGACCCTTTGTCCAAATTGAGACAGAAAGGAGATACTTCTTCCCGGTTCTCGAGTCAATGTATTTCTTGTCTTACTCAACTTTATGAGTGTATTGCTTCTTATGCCGATGAAAATGAAGGGAGACTGACAAAAGATTGGAGTGAACAATATTATCCATTACTTTTAAAGAGACTTCAGTCTGTGTGTAATGAATATGGAGCCGAGATCTTGGATATCTATCGTCATTTCCGTCATTTAGAAAATACTCAGTCCTATTTGACAACAGAAACTCGCCAGTTGGACGTAGTTATGGATGAAATGGCTTTGATTTCTCAAAGAACGAATGCTTATTTTCATTTTATTCAAAACAAGTTAGATAAGCATAACAATCCTGGAGCGTTGGAAACATCCAAATTTTTTAGAGAATGTTTACTACAAAGAAAGTTAGATGAGTTGATTTCTGCTTATATTTCAATGGAGAACTATTTTATGGCTGAAAGTATTAAGAAAGCGATATCTTTGGATGAAATTTCAAAAGACTCGGGCACGATACTTGTATCCACCGTTGTTGATGATTGTTTCTTTGTTATTCAAAAATCTATCAAAAGAGCATTTGCTTTTGAGAATAACGACGTTCTTTGCGCAATTATTAATGAAACTAATGCGGTAATGAGTAGGCAAGCTTTAGGGTTCTTTAAAAATCGACTGGTACAAACTCTGATGAGCCAAAAGGAGACCAACAGGTAAGTGTTTTGTGTGTTTTGACAGTAAGCATTTCATAAGTTTTGCAAGTAGGATAGAATCTTATGCATCCAAACCTTTAGATAAGAGTAGAAATGTAACTCAGCAACTTGTGGTTCTGTTAAATAACCTTCACAATTGTGAGGAATATGGTGAACGCCTGATAGGATGGTTAGATACTGCTAGTAGAAAACGAAATTCGGCAGCATCTGAATTGGAAAAGATTCAGTCGGTAGTTGGGGACTTGAAAGACGCTTTGAAAGCCTTTCACTCGATGTGGGAGGAAATTTTGGAGCATTTGAAGACACGCATAACAAGCAAACTTGTACGTACGGTAAGTGGTGGGAATATTCATCACTTGATGAAATATCAACGTTCATTTGTAGTTGGAACCTTTGCAACAAATGTCTTTTATCTTACAAGAAGACAATTTATTGGGAGATTTGGAGGCAAGTTCCTCATTTATCTATAATTTCATGGAACAATTTGACAATTCTGTTGGATATTTGGAAAACTTGCTTATTGACAGCAATTGGGATCAATTGATTCGTCAAATGGCCGACTGGACCGCAGCTCACTTGGAATCTATTCTATGGCGTAAAAAGTTTAATTCCCACGGTGCCCTTCGACTGGATAATGATATACGTAGTATTACTAGCTTCTTCAACAACAAAGTAAAACAAGGGACTGTTCGTGATATATTTACTAGACTATTTCAACTAACAATGTTACTTAATTTGGAAAGTCCTACGGAGATTGATGATATTTGGCAGAGGGAAGAAGACAAACACATTCGTTGGAAATTGACAGCTGAAGAAGTACGTGAAGTGTTGTCTTTGAGAACTGAGTTTAGTAGCGAAACAATCAGACACCTTTCATTGTAATAATAATTCATTATTATATTGAGATGCTCTGGAATGAATAAAAGTTGATACTCATCGCATGATGGGTTGCCTTTCAACTGAAAACTTGTTGTAGTAATGTGATATTGGATAATTTCTTCTAATCAATGTATCAGTTGTTGATATATAAATATATATATTCTCCAAGGCTATTCATTCCATTTTAATTTAGAATTTTCTATGGACGATGATAATGATGATGATCTTCGGAAGCCTAAACCACCTTGGCGGGTTTGTTCTGAAGGTGACTTGATTATCGTTTATATTTCAGCCGACAAGATAAAATCACTCGTATTGAATCCAGATACTGTTATGGTTAACAAATACGGGAAGTTCTACGCATTAGATTTGATAGGTAAACCTCTCGGGCGAAAGTGGTATTCCAGGACGGTTGACAAAAAGGGCCGTTGTGGTTATGTATATCCGTTATGGCCTACTCCGGAACTTTGGACGAGAAGTATTTTGCAGCGAACACAACTCGTATATAGTTCGGACATAAGCTTGATTATTTACAAGATGGGGCTTGGTTGTGGTTCTTCGGTAATAGAAGCGGGTACGGGTTCAGGTTCCATGACTTTTGCACTAGCTAGCACAGTATATCCAGAGGGTCACGTGTTTAGTTTCGATTGTAAGGAAGAAAGAGTATCAGCTGTGAAAAGTGAAATGGATAAGCTCTACTTTGGTTCTTGTATCAGTTTTGACTGCCGAGATATCGTCGAAAAAGGATTTGGTGAAATACTGCCAGTCGACGCCATATTTCTTGATATTCCCGAACCTTGGCTAGTAGTCAAACATGTTGTCGACTCTTTGAAGGAGGGTGGAATGGTTGTGTTTTATTCTCCGTGTATGGAACAAGTTTTACGAACTTTGGAAGAGGTGAACTTGTTCGGACGGTTGAAACTTGTAGAAATACTGACCACTCGTTGTACACCCTATGAGACTCGACCAAGAAGAGTTTCGCAAGATGATAATCTTGTAACCTTTCTTGAAGAGCAGCTTCCACCCGTTGTCAAGGAAGAGACTCTCGAGAAGACAAGGACTAGTAAAGAATCAACTGTGATGAGTTGTGCACCTGCTTATCGTTGTTATCGTTCACACACTGCTTATCTAACTTGGGTTCAAAAATTAAATCATTCGTGAGGAGAACAAATAGCAAATGAAGGAATGAGAAGATTCGCATCTTGATAGAATTTTGGGAGACACATTCCGACGGCTTCTCCTTTTTTTTTCCTGAGACATGTTGTACTGTTTCCCTTAAGAATCTTTTTGGTATCTGGCCTATTTAAAGCTAAAATTATTCACTATATTTATTGTATGTTATTTGTCTCTAGCCCAACCCATCTATAACACACGCGTTGTTGACATTTGAGACGATGAAGTTTGGAAAGAAGCTACAAGATACCGTAGAAACTGCAAACAAGGATTGGAGGCCATACTTTATTGACTATAAAGGTTTGAAAAAGTTGATATCCTCAACACTCGTAGAGCACAAGAGTAAGGAATTAAACTGCTTGAATGGCGAGCAAGTATTTCCTTCTTCGGGAGAACAGCCATGTTTGTCGGAGAATAGAGACAAAACTCGAGCATATCAAGCAACGGAAACAGAACAGGAGACAACTTTATTTGTAACATTGAAGAGGAAAAATAAGAGCGACGAGGAAAGCAAGAGCATCAAGAAGCTCAAAGTGGCCATTCGTTCTTGCCTTATCTCTTTCTTCACGGCGCTCAAGCAAGAGTTGGATAAGGTTAACGACTTTTATCTGGATAAAGAAGAAGAACTTATCATATCTCATCACATGTTGAAAGCTTATGTAGCAGAATATGTAAGTAATAGGGTATTCTTCATAGGAACCTCTCACTGATGATCTTGAAAAGGTCTCATCACAAAATATCATTTAAGATTTGACTCTGCAAAGGAATCAGATAAATTTTTTTGTTTTATTCTGCTGAATATTGTTTGCGAGTTGACGACAATTTTATTCTTTGTAGAGCAACTTGGATAAATCAGCGTTTCTCTTCTTTTTCAAGCTTGACTTGCCCCTAGTAGAAATGAACATTCCTTCTATTGATAGACTCGTGTTTTATACGAAACGTTGAGTTGTCTTTGATTCTCGTCACAAATATCCAAAAGGAAGCCTCTACTAATGTACCCATCAGGTTATACTTCGCAAGAGTCTTCTTTCAAGTGCCTAACGCAAGGAACTTTTGTATAGTGACTCACTTATTCAATGATCTGATGGTTGAGAATGGAAGAAGAATAGGACTCAACTGGACAAATCGTTCTTTGAATTTGCAGAGCTTTTAAAAGTTTTACTTTTTTATATTGGAAGAGATAGTAGCCCTCTTGGAGTTATATCGTTCCTAAAGCATCTTTGTATTCTTTATAGTTTGCTTTCTTATATATGTTCACAATTTGTGGTTTTTACAAAGTTCAAAGTTGATGGTACAAGAGAAGGCAGTGAAAACCTTTAAACCTAAACAGTCATGTTTACCTTCAAAAACACCTCAACTGTATAGTCGACTATTGAGGAGAAGGAATTCAACTATGATTCAAATGTTATGCAATGACAAGATACGAGAAAAGAATCGATAGAATAGACTCAATTCGATTGAATTGAATTT